ACACCCCCAGGAAGTTGTCTCTGTCTGAAAGAGTTGTTTTCTAAGGCCTACCTGACTTAGGGTATAGCTCAGCTGGTAGACCACGTGCCTAACATGCATGAGGGCACTGACTCTCAGAACCAGTAATTAAAAAAGAAAATGTTTTCTTTTAAATAAAAAATCCTTAACTACCAGTCAAAGACAGCTACCTCTATTTGTGCATGTCTGTGGGAGGAATCAAGGGTTGGATGTCTCTCTTGGTTGTTAAGTACCTTAACTTTTGAGACAAGGTTTCTCACTGAACTCAGCTCACTGAGTGGCTGCTGAGCTCCCAGGATCGCCTTGTCTCCAGACTGTCACAGATCCGTTGTGTACTCCCCTCACTCACCCAGGTACATGGATTGACTGATCCATCTCCTTAGAGTAACTGCATGCCTTTCTGTACATTCTAGAATATCTCACCGGGCAGTGGAGGTGCACACCTTTAATCCCAGCACTCGAGGCAGAGGCAGGTAGATCTCTGTGAGTTCAAGGCCAGCCTAATCTATAAAGTGAGTTCCAGGACAGCCAAAGCTACACAGAGAAACCTTGTCTCATAACAAAACAAAACAAAAGCAAGCAAGCAAGCAAGCAAACAAACAAAAACAAGCACTAATGTAAGAATTAAAGGTAGACACTGAAAAATCTCATTCCTCTGTGTCCCAGAGGCTACCTGGGAAAAATCTGTCTACAAAGATACAGAGAACATATGAGCTGTGTGGGTTTTAATGAGATTTCTCTTTTCTTCCATGGGCCATCATTAGCCCTTAAAGGTTAAAACCGTTTCCTAATTGCTGTGTAGATCTCCAGTTATGCACAAATAATGTCTGTGGCCTTCTGAACCAACTCTGTAAACATTTTCTCCCAAAGTCTTCTCTACTAAATGTTTCCAAACTTAAAATAAGGTTCTGGTCATTTCAACATGTACAAAACTGGCCATCTCAACATATACAGAACTGGCCATTTTGACACATACAAAACCGGTCATCTTGACGTGCACGGAACTGGTAATTTATCCAAACGACTATGTGAGTGAACTTAGGCACTAAAAATATATGCTATGCAAATGCAAACTGTACAAGTTACATATGGTTGTTGCACTTCCCATGCAGAAACTGTTGGATCTCAAAGGGACCTTGGGAGCATCTGTAGCCCAGTCCCTCCTCAGAAGAGAAGGAAGAGACTGAATTTCCAGCTCCCAGAGGGATGGAGCCAGCCAGCCCTTCCTCTCTGCCATAGAGCTGTTTTCCAGCTCCTCCAGCTGGATGCAGTCTGCCTAGCAGTACAGACACTCTGTTTGGTTGCAACCAAAGCAGGACTAGCTTTGAGACCTAGCAGCTTTCATTTGCATTTCACTTCTAGCTTCCAGGGCCTCTTGCTGCTAAAACTGCCACTGACTCTGTCTTTCTCCAAAGAATGACAGTTATTTTGTTCTTGGGTTTTGATCACAAGCTCTTCCTTACTCTCTGGGGATGCGATCCTGGCCAAGATATCCACACTCTCTGTACTTGTTAACAGTGAGCAATATGTAAGTTTGAATCTCCTAGTGTTAACAGCAGAATTACACTTACAGCACAGGTGACCCACGCAAACCCAAGTGTCATTAGGAGACTGCACACCACTATAGTGAATCTTGTAAAAAGCTCTAGGACTCAGTCTCTACCTTGAGGTCTTAATCTTTTGCGCAATACACCTCAGGGCATTTGCAGATGCTCTGGGTTAGACAGAGGCATGAGTGTGGCTTCAGATCGGGGCTACCTAACAGGACCGAAGACACCACCTTCCCCTGGGCTCCTAGTTCGTCTGAAGCTCAATTCCAAGAGAGATATGTGTGGAGTGCCTCAGAGAGCCAGAGAGGATGCTAGGGGCTGCTGTTCTGGGGACAAGGTGTACCACTTAGCTAAGGGTTATAGACTCCTACTGGCTTCTAGGGGCTTCTGTATTAGCACTGTGAGAAAAGAGCCTCACTGGCCTGGGTGCCTGACTTGTAGCCCAGGACCAAACTCCCTGCCATCATCAGCATGACAAAGCAGCAGCATGCGCTAAGCGGCCCCACCCCACCCGTGCTGGACCTGCTGTGCAGTGGGCACCGTGCTGCCACCGGATACCGTGCTGGCTGAGCTTCACTGAGCTTCACAGTCTTTCCAGCCATCACAGCCCTGCTCTGGCTCTGCCACATATTTGGCCTCCTCTGCGATCCCTCGCTCCGAGGTGGAGGTTCCTGCTCCTGCCCCTGCACTGGCTGCAATCCTGGGCCCATAGTCTGTGGGGTTAGGCTCAGTGAGGTTGTTGTGACAGACCACGGTCTTTAACCCTTGGTAGCCACATCAGTGTCGTACTATGAGGACATTTTCTGAGCTGGGCCAAGTGGAAGGATGCACGGGCGTTTTGGCCGCTATGAAATTTCTAAACTTGCTCAAAGTCAGCATGCACAGGGTATCATGATGTCCTCATGCCATTTCTGAACCCGTTCATGTAGAGGCCACACTCGTATGTTGGCCCCCGCGCCGTTACCACACCTGGCCATGAAGGGACGGATGGACCTAATGGCATTTCTGAGCTCAGTCAGATGTGAGGTATATGCCATGTTGGTTCAGTGTCATTTCTAAGCCCCAGTTCTATGGGGGTTGTACAGGGCATTTTAGCTTCCATGCCATTTAAATCCAGCCATATCAGAGGGTGTGTGGGCATGGTGTACCCAACACCATGTCTGATCCTGGTCATCTGAGGGGCATATAGGCATGTGAACTCTGTGTCTTTTCAGAGATCAGTTATATGTGAGTGTGTGTGAGCTTATTAGCCTCATGCTGTTTTCAAGCATGGTCAAGTACTGGGGTATACGGGCATGCTGGAGCCTATGCAGCTTCTGAACCCATCATACAATGGGTTTTCTGGCCATGTTGGCTTCTATTCCATATCTGAGCCTGGTCATATGGGAGAGGGTGTGGGTATATAGGCACCCAACCATTTTGTAGTGGGGGGATATATGGGTATATGCCATTGTGATCCCTGTCATAAGGGGAGAGCTATGGGCATTTTGGCCCCAATGTCATTTTCTATCCCAATCACATGGAGGGTACATATGTTGATCTCCATGCCATTCCCAAACCTGGTTATGTGTGGGGCTGTTCAAGCTTGCTGGCCCCATGACATTTCTGAGACTGGAGCATGTTGGCCCCTGCATAATTTCTGAGCCTGGTCATACATGTAGGGTATATGATTATGTTGATCCCCAGCCCATTCATATGAGCATGTTAGCCCCCATGACATTCCCAAGCCCAGCCATACAAGGGGACATATGGGCATGTTGGTTCCTGTGTCATTTCAGGGCCCAGACCATGTAGCAGCAGTGGCACTCAACACGTGTGTGAACAGGCATGTGCAGGCCTGCAGGCAGCAGCATGGGAACAGGTGTGCCCAGACCCCAGTTGGTGGCACTGGGACAGGACCAATGTGCAAACATGTGTCTCAGGATACCACAGGCCCGGGAATAGGTGTGCCCATGTCACCATATGGTGGTGCTGGAACATGGCATGCATGCTCCCAGATGTGCCCCGGCTGCTGATTGGAGGCCCTGGTGCACAGTAGGGGTGCTAACAGGTGTGCCCAGACTGTCACTTGTCAGAATGGGACATGGCATGTGTGCAAATACGTATGTCAAAGCCAGCACATTGCAGTCCTGGGGCATGGTATGTGTGTGAGCATTGAAGATAGTGAGAATGTGTCACCGAGTGTCCCCAGCCTGTAAGCAACATGACATTCTCTTTCTCAGAATACTCATCCCAAGGAACAGCGTCCATGTTGTCACAGTAGGAGGCCACTCAGGCATGTGCTAAGTTCTTAGTCAACAGACTACATTGACTGCCAAACACGGATGTGAGTGCTTAGGTGATCCTAATGTGGCTTTCCAGTCACCTGCTAATGCCAGGAGACAGCCCTGTCCCCACTGAAGCCCGGTTGAAGTTCAAAGTCCTAGTTAAAGTGAACGGTATTTTGTGGCACTAAATTTTGCAGTGTTAAGCCGGGTGTTGGTGGCACACGCCTTTAATTCCAGCATTTGTGAGGCAGAAGCAGGTGGATCTCTGTGAGTTCAAGGCCAGTCTGGTCTACAGAGTGAGTTCCAGGACAGGATCCAAAGCCATACAGAGAAACCCTGTCTTGAAAAACCAATAAATAAATAAATAAATAAATAAATAAATAAATAAATAAATTTGCAGGGTTTTGTTACATGATTGTATCAGCTACTTGTTCGTTGGGGTGACAGACACAGACAGAAGCATCCTAAGGGAGGAAGCATTTATTGAATGCATGGGTGACAGGAGATGGCTGGTCACACTGTGTACACAGTCAGGAAGCAGAGGGGGCAAATGCTGTTGCTCAGCTCACTTTGAGGAAGCAGGAAGGATCCAGAAGCTGGCAGGAGCACTCTTGGGACTCACGAGCAAACCCTGTGAACTCCTCGGGAAGATCTTCTGCGGCTGGAGGGTCCCGAGGGTCCCTCCCCCCTCCACGCCTCTACCAGTCCCTGGCAAGCTCACCTGACACCAGCATTGTTTCTCTCTGTGGGTTCTAGCCTCCATCGTGTCTGTTTATGGGTATGTATGTGTTTGTGGGTATGTATGCATCACTTAGAATTTAAATGCCATTGTGTTAGAAACACCCAAGCAATAGTTCCAAATGTGACATCTATTCTCACCGGAATCGAGTTTGTCACGGGGACTGCGATAGCCTGGAGGACCCTAGGCTACTTCTCTTACTGTGCTGAGTCTCAATCATGGCCTTCCTCTACTTCATGGTGCAACGTGGCTGCTGGGGCTCTTGCCACCACGCCAGCAGTGCACACGGCTAAAGAAAGAAAACAGGCAAAGAGGAGCACACACCGTTCCCAAAGTCACATCCCATAAATTGTTGTGTGGCTTATTGGATGAGCTCGAATCATCTAGCTGGACCTAGCTGGAAGGGATGCTTGAAATCAGAAGTCTGAGGAGGAAGATCAGCAGTCCTGGAAGGCAGCGAGCTGTCCTTGTCATATCGCACACCTGGAGTGGAAGCTTCCAGATGTGATGCCTGGCGATTGGACCCTGTGTTCCCCTTCTTGGCCCTGCCTCCAGCTTCGGCCCCTGCTGCTGTTCCCTTTGGAGCAGCGTAGGGAGCAGGTGCACATGTCCCCTGGTGTCTCGAGCAGGGACAGGATCATTTTGATGATGAGGGCGAGCCAGGCCATCCCAAAGAGGATCCACAGGGACACGATGTTCTTGTACCACACAGGGTACTTCCGAGAGGGGTCCATACCTGGGAAAAGGCAAGGCCAGAGGATGTGGGGGCCGGAAACTGGAGGCCTGAGTGATGGGTGAGGTGAGTGGAGAGCAGGAAGCCCACATACTTGACCTTCCCAGTCTGTGGCTGCCAGACTGAGATTCAGGAAGCCCCTTGGATTCACTGGTATCTTATGCCTGGAAATGAATCTTTTCTAGAAAGTGCTGTCCCCAGGCTACCATTGCGGCCACCCGAGAGCCTGCTGTAGAGGCAGGTGACTGGCTGAACCCACCTTGCCTGGTGAATCGAAATCTCTGGGATGCCTCATAGGCTACAGTTTTGCAAGCTCCCAGGAGAGGCATGCTTACTCCATTTCCCGTGTTTAGCTTTTCTTTTGTGTTTATGAAAAATAGCTTTAAGATTTATTTCTATGTGTATAGATGCTTTGCCTACATGTATGTCTATGTACTGTGTGCGTGTCTGGTACCTGGGAAGGTCAGAAGAGAGTGTCCCATTCCTTGGAACTGGAGTTACAGATGGTTGTGAGCCATCATGTGGGTGCTGGGAACTGAACCTGTGACCTCTGCAAGAGCAGCCAGTGCTCTTCACCTCTGAGCCATCTCTCCAGTCCGTTTAGTTACTTGTGAGACAGGCCCTCATGTAGTCCTGTTTGGCTGTGAACTTCGGATCCTCCCCGTCTCCACCTCCTGAATGCTGGGATTGTAGGTACGTGCCACCACACCCAGTTTTGTAGTGCTGGGATTGCGCCCAGGGCCTCAGGCATGGAAGCAAGTGCTTCCCCTGTGCACAGCCCTACCCCACCCGCTTCCCTATTGGCTAGGTGGGAAGGGAGCAAGCTGTGGGCGCCAGGGACTTTAGAAGGACATACGCAGCAGCTGAAGATGCATCCCACCTCAGTTCCTAGCGGCTGTGATGGATTGCCACCTGAGCACCCACACCTGTGACAAGGGAAGACAGGCCGGCACCCCACCACCTGGCTTTAGAAACCGCCTGCTTACTTTCTCCCTCATGCCTTTCTCTGTCGTTGCCATCTTCCCCTGTTTCTCAGGACCCTCATACCCGCCATCCCCTCAGCTTCCCTGCTCATTTCCAGCGGCTCTTGACGGTCCTTTTCCACCCGTCTTTATATGTTTGCTCAGATGTCCCTCCTTGGAGAGCAGCCTGGCTCCCCTGCCATGCTCTTGAAGCCGAGTGTCTTTGCTGGGAGCTGCTCTCTTGGCTAACTGTCTCTTAGCCTAGAGCCTCAGGGTGCGGAGCTCTCCCAAGACCTGGAGCTATCTATTCCTTGTGGCTTGCCCTGGATACCCTGACATACTGGGTCAGTGGAGGCTGAGGAAAGGGAACTTTAGCTGACTCCGGTCATGGGAGTGTTTCTCCTCTGTCTGCTTCCCAGGGACCTCACAGTGCTGATCTCACAGCCTTTCTTGTCTTGGACCATCCTCCATCCCGTCCTGCTGGCCCCACATCAGGCCTGGCCTGTGTCACAGGCTCTGGCTCACAACCCACATTAAGCTGACAGAGTTATGAGACAGACAATTTGATTCCTCTGTGGTACCGAATGAGATCAGTGGAGCGTTTACTCCTGTGTACAGAGGCCAGGAGGCCCTTTCTCCCCTTGATTTAATTTTTGGCACAAGAGTTGGTAGCTGGCACAGGGTTCCACCGAACAGTTAATGCAATTGTGGCTGGGGTTTGGGTGACTCTGGCTACCAGCTGTACCATAACATCCCACGACAGGTGTGTGTGTGTGTGTGTGTGTGTGTGTGTGTGTGTGTGTGTGCGCCTGTGTGTATGTATGTGTGTTTAGGGGACCAGCATCTCTGTCAAGAAAGCAGTTGGTCCATCCCTAAAGGTCTGTGAGAGATGAGATTGGGGGAAGAGGTGTGGAGATTTTCAGAACAAGTATGGTTGGCCTTAGGCACCTCCCTGCCCTTCTCCACGCAGCCAGAGGCCGTCCTTGCAGATGAAGGAGCCAGGGGCTCTGTGTGTGCAGAGGTAATGAGCAGCTTCGAGGACCACAGCACACAGATGCTCTCCCGCCAGCCCTTCTGCCATCCAGGACTTTGGACTGGGCTCAGGGCAGGGAGCTTTAGAGCAAGAGGTGGAGCAGGCTGTCCTGCCTGCTCACAGAGTAGCTTCCTGGGCAGAGACCCATGTGGCAACCTCACTCGGATAGTCACGGGCTAGGCCGTGCCTCTGCCCTTCCTGGAGGCTGGCTGATGCTTTTCCTCCCATTTCCAACGTGCCCATGTCTAGGGAATGCTGCCTAGTTGGAGAACTAGCTTGTTTTTGAGGCAGGATCTTCTGATGTAGACCTGTCTTTGAATTTACAATCCTCCTGCCTCCGTCCTCTCAAACACTGGGGTGGTGGGGTGAACCACACACCTGTGTTTAGTTGTATAATTTGAATTCTATCCTAAGACTGTAGGAAACCCTGAAGGTTTTCAAAGAAGCTAGCCAAGCTCTGAAGTGCCAAGGGGATCAGAGTGGAGAGCACAGCACCCTCGGAGCCTCGTCGTGCTGTGTGGATGGGAACGCTCCAGGGCTGTGCCGTGCCAAACCTGTGAGCTTCCTGTGACAGCCCAGGGCTGATGGGGGAAGCGGGTGGGAAGAGCGCTGCTGGCTGTAGCTCACCTCAGACACATGTGCCCACTGTCAGGGTGGCATAGGCATCTGACCCATTTGGAAGAATCTACCCAAGTCACTTCTTCCTGAGCCCCAGGCTGGGGAAGACCAGGCTGGGATAGCAAGAGCCCAGATATGAGACCCTCCCTTAAGACAGAGACCTTGAACTCAGAGGCCAGAAAGCAGCAGTGATGGGCCCCCAACAAGCCCCAAGGGTTCTAGATTAGCTGAATTGTGGGAACAAACAGATTAGAAGTTGTATCTGGCTGAGCTGTCTCGGGCAAATAAATGGCTTGGCCTCTCTGAATTTCAGTTTCCCTTTTGATAAAATGGGGGTGACACCCACTCTGGCCTACAGGCTGAGTGAGTGGCTTGTCAGCTTGTCAGAGGCTTGTCTACCCTTCAGAAGTGGGGAGCGGGGCAAGCCGATGGACCCACACCCGAGGATCCAATCATTCCTCCCAGCCAGTTCTGTCTTAACTGCCTGTGGTCCCCAGTCTGGAGGACAGTGATGGGAGATGTCATTCTGTATATATGTTTCTCACACTGGTTAATGAATAAAGCACTGTTGGCCAATAGGAAAGCAAAATAGGTGGGACTAGGAGACAAGGAGGAAAGAGAAAGTAGTAAGGAAGAGTCAAGATGGAGAGTCTGGAGAGAGCAGAACCGCCAGCCGCCTCTCCCTGGTAAGATAAGAGCACGTGGAAATAATAGAAATGGGTTAATAATTAAGACAGAGCTAGCCGATAAGAAACTAGTAACTGGCCAACAGCATTATATCAAATACAACATCTCTGCATTATTTGGGGCTGGCGCAAGGCCAGCGGTGCGCGTAAAACCCTACTCGTTACAGGAGAGTGAGCATATATAGGCTGGGAAGGACTAGGAGAGCGGCTCCATCTATGTAGCCATGAAGTCACCATCCATGCTGGGTGAAAACTTTCCAGTGCAAATACTTTAGGCTCACCATGGTCCTGCCTGTGACCCCTCATATATGCTCAATAAATGCAAGGATTCCCCCAGGGAAAACTTGAGTGCAAGCAAACTTTGATTTGACATTGGGACTTTAGCAAGAGTGGAGAGAAACGTTTAGTCCCCTAGCCCCCACCCCAGGAGAAATTTTCATGACAGGCTGCCTCCTCATCCCAGGACCATGACCTACTGGAGGGTGTGGTGTCCCCAAGGCTTCCCTGGGTAGCCACTGTCCGTCCATTGCCAAGTCCTCCCATTTGCCCCCAGTCTGAGTTTCCTGCCTGGTTTCTCGCCTGGGCAAGTGGGTGGGGATGGACTAATGGAGAAGTCAGGACAGTCGAAAGGCTGAACGTCCCTCCAAGGCACCCATGGAGCCCATAGCTGTGGAGGGACAGCTCCACACTGGCAGGAAGGCTCCGAGAGATCATAACCCACCATGCTGGGAAGGGATAGAGCTTACTTGGGTTACAAGCTATCCCTTGGGCCTACCAACCCACCCATGTGAGACACCAGTCACCTGCAGTGCCTTCCCGGGCTGCCTGGGAGGTCCTGGGCTCACTAATCCCCGGGCCACTCACCAATCACATAGTCGCCGAAGCCCACTGTGCTGAGCGTGATGAAGGCAAAGTAGAAGCTCTCCATGTAGCTCCAGCCTTCCATGTGGGCGAAGAGAAGTGGAGGCAGCAACAGGAAGAGCAGGAGGCCGGAGAGGAGCGCGGCGGAGCCTGCCAGCCACGGTGCCCTTGCTGGGTCCTGAAGCACATAGCAACAAGGCTCTGTGGCTCTGTCCTGGGCAGCAACAAGGGGATGCCCCATGCCCACCTCGCCAGCTTCGTGTATACCCCCCATTTTCTTCCAGAAGCATCTGTGGCTTTGACTCCTCCCAACTTCTCATGCCAACCACAGACACTCATGATCACCGTTCTGGCCCGTGCTCCCACAGGCTTACCGGAACCTCCCGCATTCTCCGGGTCCGGCCCCTTCTGGTTCCGCACCCCATTCCCACCACAGTCCCCCATCAGGAATGGCCAGGTTCCTGGCCACTGCCTCACCTGCCAGCTGCCCCCCAGCCGTTGGACACATCGGTGCACCCCTCGCTGCATAAGGTGGCCCAGCCGGTTGAGCACCACCAGATTGAGCGGGATTCCCATGAGAGCAAAGAGTATGCAGAAGAGACGGGCAGCCATGGTCTCCGGGCTCAGGTTGCCGTAGCCTGTTGCAGGAGGGAGGGGTTTTTAAGGAGACCTTTCCCCCAGCTCTGGGCATGGCCACCTCCGGGTTCTGCTCTTGCACTGGAAGTGGCAGCTGTGCCTACCCAGCTCGGATGATGGGGCATTAGCTCACTGTTGGCCTGTGGAGATCTTGTTCCTTCTGGTTCCACTTCTTGGGCTCTGATCCCTGCAAGGTTGACCTAGGCAAAGGCCATGACCTTTCTGTGCCTGCTTTCTTGACCTTAAGACGGCCACTGGCAGTGTAGTGACAGGCCACAGTGGGGACATACTGTGTGGGAATGTGAACCCCTGAGCATCGATTGGGTAGCAGGCTGAGTAAATGGACGGATGAATCATGATGGAAGGTTGCTGTGTGTGTCTGGCCTGAGAACCTCAGAAGTCTCTTTCTCGGGGTCTTCCGTTCCCTTTCCACTCATGTTTTAGTTTGTGTTAAAACAAGGTTTTGTGTTGCCCAGGCCTCAAGCTTTTTATGTAACCTTGAACTCCTGATCCTCCTGCCTCCGCCTCTCAAGTGCTGAGTTCACAGAGTGATGGCCAGAGTAAGATCGGTGTTAGGGAGGTGTGTGTTTGTGTGTGTGTATGTGTGTGTGTGTGTATGTGTGTGTTTGTGTGTGTGTGTATGTGTGTGTATGTGTATATGGTGTGTGTTTGTGTGTGTGTGTGGTGTATGGTGTGTGTGTATGTGTGTGTGTGGTGTATGTGTGTGTATGTGTGTGTGTGTGTGTGTGTGTATGTGTGTGTATGTGTGTGGTGTGTGTGGTGTGTATAGTGTGTGTGGTGTGTGTGTATGGTGTATATGTGTGTATATGTGTGTGTATGGTGTGTGTTTGTGTGTGTGTGGTGTGTGTGTGGTGTGTGTGTGGTGTGTGTGGTGTATAGTGTGTGTGTTTGTGTGTGTGTGGTGTGTATGTGTGTGTGGTGTGTGTGTGGTGTATAGTGTGTGTGTGTGGTGTGTGTAGTGTGTGTGGTGTGTGTGTATGGTGTATATGTGTGTGTATGTGTGTGTGGTGTGTGTATGGTGTGTGTGTATGGTGTGTGTGGTGTGTGTGTATATGGTGTATGTGTGTGTATGTGTGTGCACAAGTGGGCTGGGAAGAAATGTCAAAGACCAAGAAGAGGGAAGGCGGAGCCTGAGTCTTCAGTGGTGTGAGCCTGCCACCTAGTGGTAAGTCATGGGTCACGCAAGTGATGCTGAGGGCAAGGACATTAGGGCATTCCCTGGGACCTAAGGCTTTCTGTCCCCACTGTTTCCACACCACAGCCATAGGTGCTGTCAAGGTGTTTCCACCTCAGCTTGGCCCTGGAGGATAGTGACAGGGACTGAGGGGTGCTGGTGGGCCGGGAACGTCTGTAAGACCCGGTTGGGTGACCAAAATCCTTCATGGAAGCAGTCCCCAAACTCGAGTATGTGTACAGTTCAGTTCCCTTGATGTCTGATGACATGCCAACCAAGGCTGTGGGCCCTAGGGCACGAGAGGCTGCTTGCAGGAGGGTGGGGGTGTGCTTGCAGACACAGGGTCACCGCTTTACAGGGTGACACCTCAGGGTGAGGCCGACTCCCGAGCCCCACCAGTTTGTCCCCATGCTGCCCTTACCGATGGTAGTGATGGTGGACACAGAAAAGAAGAAAGAGCCCACAAACTCCCAGCGCCCCATGCTGGTGGCATTGTCCAGGAGATGGGTCCCGTCTTTGTATGCTCGGATGATGTCCTGGGGAGATGCTACAGTGACCAACAGGATCTTGGGAGAGGGGACTGTGCCCCTGCACCCCAAGGCACCCTCACACCCATGCCTACAGCCACACCTACACCCACACTCCTGTACAGGCCTCCTGCTGTATGGACAGGTTCTCCAAAGTGATCCACTGCCTCCAGAAGAGAGGAGGAAGTTCCCATGACAGCAGCCACAACCCCTCCCCCAAGTTAAATCCCACAGTGTCAGCTGCTGAGGAGAGGGGGCTTCAGCAGAGCTGCCTACAAGCTGTGAGGTATCACTCCTGTCGGGCGGAGGCTTCAGCCAAGCAGCTGCCTCTGTGTCACCCACACCCCTGTTAGTAACCCCAGCAGACTCCCTGGCCACCCAGCGAGAAGTGGGAGAAGCTGTGTCACTGAGCAGTCACTGGTGTCCCGTCTGCTTTGAAGAGACTTTTTCATGTGTCCCCAGAGAAACCTCACACGATATACCCCCCTTTATTACAAGTTCATCTGGGACAAGGAAGCATTGCTTCTTCTAAGTAAGGGCTCCCCAGAGGCAGAGATCATGGGGACAACCCCCTCTCCTCCTTATCCTAGAGCCAAGTCAGGGTGGGTTCTAGGCTAGCCCTCAGGTATAGCTAACTACTCATCTGCTGCCTAGCTCAGTCCTCATCTGGCAGGAAACAATAGGCAGATGTTGCCAGATGACAGACGTGACCTCAGCCTTCAGCGGGACAGAGCTGAGTTAACTCTGATATGGGGCCATCGTGACAGTTATAGAGGTATGAAAGAGGTGGTGTGGGAGGTTCTCAGTTTCCCCACACCCCAGTTTGCTCATCTGTAAAATGGGACACTAACAGTGGTGAACGGTTGCCATCTTCTTAGGGATATCACACCGTGGGCCTCCTCTGAGGGTCTTCCCACTGAGAAGGCTTTAGGGAGACAGGGCAGTAGGAGCAGATGCTGGGAGCTCACACCGTCTTGGACGTAAAATCATGGGATTCTCAGAAACATCCACATACTAGGATTACAGAAAAGCAGCCTCTGGGTGATAAGCTTACAGCCTCCGTTCTTGGCGGTGCAGCATTGCGTTTAAAGTGAACCTCTCTAACCGGAGCCAGGGTCCATCTCCTCCGTGGGATGGTAGTATCGGCTAGGGAGGCATGTGACACAGGGGCTGGGCAAGGGAAGGGCTGCAACAGGAGCATTGCCGGCGATGGTCAGACAGTCCCTAGCTAGCTGCACTAATGACCACTCCTGTCCTACCCCAACATTTTTCTCTTCCCGCAGGGGAGCTAGCTGCAGCTTAGGGTTTCGGGGGCACAGGTCCTGCCCGTCTCTGTAACGGGACCACTGCAAGAGAGAGAGGGTAGCCACTGGGGCACGTGGCTATCTCTGTCCCTGCACTCTTGGCAGAGGGATGTGGAGTAGACTAGTAATGCAAACAGCGATTTGCTCCGCTGCGAGCCCCCCACCCCACCCCACCCCGTGGCGCACGGTGGCCAGGATGCGCTATCCATTGGATGAGCCATCTCCTGCCTCCGTGTCCTGCATCCTCATCGTCTGAGGGGCCTCTGGCTGGGTGACCTCTGATCTTCATCCACCCCTTGCATCCCTGCCTGCATACAGGTGGAAGGTGTCTGTCTGCTCTTAATGTCCAAATACTTAAGTAAAGTGATCTCAGCTCTGGGTCCAGCCCAGGTCCCCTAACTCTCTTCTCCCTCTGCCCAGAGCACATTTTAGCACTGTTTCACCCACAGGCTCAGGCTGAGCCCTTTCTCCTAAGTTCCCATGCGCCCGCGAGGCAACGTTCCTCCGGAATCTGGCCACGCCCCTAAGGTATTTGCCCCTCCCCTGTCCTTTGAAAGACTAGGTGTGGCCTTCCATCCTTGGCCCTTTGTTCAGTAAGCCCCACACAAGGCTGACCTTTCTTGCTTGTTCGGACAGCCTTGTAGCTTGTGACCCAGGGAAGTGCTCGTCTGCTCCTCTGTGTTCCTATGGCTGTGTTCTGGACCGGCCTTCCTACAGGGATAGTCTCACTTCCTTAAAGATGGAGCCAGAGCCCCCTCCTCCCTAGCCCCCAGTCCAGCCCATCCCCCATGGTTACCCAACCCCAATCGCACAACCCTGTTTTTCCCAAGCCTGTCTATTCCAACTCTCTAACACATTACTGTCCCAACTGTCCCGGGAGGAGCCAGAGTAAGCTTCCTCCCTCCTTCATCCCTGCTGTGAGCTTCCGCCCCTGGCGATCGATCCTCTCCTACCCTCCCCCGTCCCTGCCACCCCCGTTTCCCAGGCTGGCTCCCTAACCCGTATCAGCAGGTCCAGCGCTGGGCCATCCAGACACGTGAAGTTCTGTAGTAGCTCCCACTTGTCGCGCTGAAAGATGCGGCTGGAGTTCCGGGCCGCACGACCTTCCAGTACCCAGAACACTCCGGTGCCCAGCACCAAGTAAGCCAGGTAGGAGACCAGGAGGAGCCCCGTGGCGGGTACCCGACAGCTCCGGGCCTCAGGAGATAGCAGTCCGCACATGGTGGAGAGGTCAGAACCCAAGAGCGCTCTGATGGGCAGGAACCGGGACTGGGCAGGAAAGACCAGGAGGGGCCCTTCTCTGAGCAAACTCCCGCGGGTGGCCTGTTTCCCTCGGAAGAGTGCTGCAGGGTGCAAAGGCCCGGCCCACCCTCGAGGATCCTGTCCCAGGTACAAAAGGATAACTCGCCAGAGAGTTGGAGTGCCCACCTCAACATCAAGGGAAAGGGAAAGGCAGCCAGGTAGCCGCAGGTGAGGGGAGAGAAGGGCAGAGACTCCTACCAGCTTCCCCCCCCCCCCCCCAGTGCTCCGTTCTGTGGGAAAGACTCCAGCAAACAGCAGTGTGGAAGAGAGACTTCCAAAGCTATTGTCACAGGCTCCTGCCTAGGTTGTGAGGCCAGGGACTTCCTCCAAGTGCCTGCTGTGGGCAATGCTACTCTAGGTGCCCCTCAGCAGATGCACTCAAACGAGCGGGGAGGGTGTGGCTTATCTAGTATGTGGGGGGCAAGAACTTGCCCCAGGCCCACCCTGCTGGTCTGGAGGCGGTCTCTGGGTCCCCATTCACTGGAGCAGAAGCAGTAGCCAGCATGGATAGAGCTCATGAAAGGCTTCGAATTTCAGTCCTTTCCTGAATGGCAGCAATTCCCTGGGGCAGAAGGGGGGGTGTCCTTCAACAATGTGGATACTTCCCTCAACCTCCTGGACCCCTGCCCCTAAATCTGCAAATGCACAGAGGCTTAGAAACCTCCTTGCAACTGGGGAGAGAAGTTCAATAAAGAGCTAGCCAGCTCCTAACCCTTTAAGAGTGGCAATGGGGCAGACAGGGCCAGCCAGCCTCACCTCCCTTCTGGCAGAAGGACCAGGTGGGGATGGAGAGGCTGGTCCCATGGGCGCCTAGGTCCCAGGACACTTGTTCTGCAAAGCTCCTGGAGTCTGCTGTCCCTTCAGCTTCTCAAGGGGAATAATAAGGGCCACAAACTCCCTGGGGGTCATTTTTAGGAAAGTGTTGGGACACCCAGAAGATGCCCCAAGCCTCTTCAGGGAAGCCTTGTGACCCAGGAGAGCACGAGAGTGCTCACAGGCAGTCTTTGGGCTCAGGGTTCAGCAGCTGTGACCCTCTGAGGGTTGTGTCCCCGTGGGCACTGAAAGCATCCCTGGGCGCGCGCGCGCGCGCGCGTGCGTGCGTGTGTGTGTGTGTGTGTGTGTGTGTGTGTGTAGCTCCCACCTGCAGTCACCGCCCTGAACCCTCATTCCCTCCAGGTTCCCTCCAGCCACTCAAGGCTCTTGGGGCTGCCTCTCCACAAGTCTGGGGCAAAAGTAGGAACAATTAGTGTCACATCTCCAGACCTGGTACGGGCCTGGCACAAGGGGGCGGGGCTTGTTAGTGCCTAGAATGTATGTAGCAACCAACAAAAACCAACTCCGCCTTTGTTTGCAGCCTAAGGACTCCTGCTGGCATGCGAAGGTGACAATGCGTTTTTCTGGGTCCTCTTTGGGGACCAGAGAAAGGAGCTCTGAGGCCGGTATGCAAACACCCACCCATGTAAGCCTTTGGTTTTTGTCTCCGCATCTCCCCTAAAATGCTCTGTAAGCACACCCGTGTCCATTCTCTTGGAGAAATACCCACCACCTTCTCTAGGAAGTGTGTAGGCTGGACAGGAAGGGCAGGGAATGGCATGGGCTGGCCTGGGAGAGGCAGGATGGGTGTTGGAACACTTGGGTATCATGCAGAGATGGGGATTTCACCTAGGCTCCCAGGATGACCTGGCCTGGGGTGGGGGAAGTGGTCAGGAGGGGAGGGGCTAACAAGATGCTTCTGTGTGCTTAATAAGTCTCTTAAATAACACCATCCCGCGTGACAGAAGGGAGCATGAAATCTCGGAGTGGCCAAGGCTGACTGAGGTGTGTGCTCTAATGGGTGGAGAGCCAGGAACCTAAGGAGGTGGTGTGGAGATGCTTTTGGTGACAGGGAATGACACACATACACACGTTAGTTAGGACAAGATGAGGTTGATGCTGGATACTTCCAGAAGTATCTGCTGGGAAAAGTGGGGTCTGGGGCTTCCCTGCTTTGGGGCCTGTGGTGGGAGCCTGAGGGCTTTCCTGAGCATCCTAGGATCCAGCCACTTTGCTCTCTGGCGCCCTCTAGTGAGCATAGCCCACGCCAGCAGAAGAAATTACATCAGGGGCCCAAGAGAGGCTGTGTGTGCACATGTGGTGTGTTGTTTGTGTGTGCTGTGCAGTGCTGTGTGTTACATGGGTGTGTATGCTTTTGTGGGTCTGTGTTTTGTGTTTCTAGGGCAGGAGCCTTGGTAGGTTCAAGACTGAGCCTTCATGAGGAACGGGCAGGGCTCCCTCTCCTCAACTCTGGCCTCTCCTCTTCCTCTAGCTGGAAACTTGTCCCAGGGCAATATCAGCTCCCTCTTGTTACCTGCGGTGCTCCAAAGGAGGGGGAGTCATGGGAAGTATGGCTGCTACTCCTGCCTCTCTTCCTGCGGGAGCTGATTCTCAGCTGCTGGGTGGAGGCTCCCCTGACCCTCACTTGGGCAGGAACTAACCACTTAAAGCTTTGGCTTCCTCTTTCCCACACACCCAGAGAGCTGAGCCAGGCATTCCAGAGTACGTCCCGTCCCTGGAGACCTCCCCACTCTTGGGGACAGTGTTTCCCCAGGCCTCTGACTATCCCTCTGCACCTCTGGGTCCTCTGTCCTGTGGAGAAGGGGCTCTGGCATCTCTGAGGGCTCTGAGTGTGGGTGAGTGGCCACACGTGGCTACGGCATCTTTGCCTCTGAGAGTCCAATGGTGAAGGAGAGAGGCGGGAATGTTTGGACACTACACTCAGCACCGTTTATGGTACAGTGTGTGAGCTCCCCAGGAACTGGGTGCCCCGACCCTAGAACTTGTGTGTCAGGGACCGAGGACTTTGCTAGTGAGTCCCTGGCCCTACACACTGGCCGCTTTGGGCTGCAGTCAGACCTAGATCCTTGTCTTTGGTTGCAGAACCAGTTTGAGCCTGGCCATGGTCTGCCCAGTGCTCCTGCCTGGCTCCACCTTCAGCCCAGGATGGAGATGGTTCAGGGTGTGCCCGGCTCTGGCTCAGTCCTGGAATGTTTGGGTGCCTGGAGGCAGAGCATCATGGCCTAACAATAAAGGGTTTTCTGAAACGGAACTAATAGGAGGAAAGGAGAGCGTAGCAGGTTGCGTAGCCAGTGAGGCTGACCCAGGCGGGAGGGAATAACACTCCGGGCAGATGGGCAGATAGAGCTTAATGAGGAGTTTGTTTAGAAAGGGGAGTGAGGGGGAAGGGAAGAGACTTAGAGGAACGGAAGAGGAGAGAGAGGGGAGAGGAGAAGACGGGGTAGCTGGTGGCCGACTGAAAGCAGGAGAGAGAGCGAGCAAAAGAGAGACCCCACTCACTCGGGACCCCCCACCCCTTCTCCAACCTCTTATTCCTATAACTGTAACTAAAGAACAACAGCCCCCTAATAGCTGACTCCTGGATTTTATTATTAAGGCCAATAATCTTGCTGCATGGCTAGCTTCCTTATACATTCCAGGATCATTTTCTCGGGAAGGTACCACCCACAGTGGTACATCAATTAGAAATCAAGAAAACGCTCCACAGATATGCCCTTAGGCCAACCCGAGGAAGGCAGTTCCTCAGTTGAAGTTCATTCTTCCCAAGTGTGTCAAGATGACAACCAAGATTAGCCGTGACGCCACCCCTTGTACGGCACACGAGCCAGCATCTCATGTGCAGAAGGGCTTTCATGTAGAAAGATGTGGTCGGATGGAAGGATGTCCACTGTGCCCTGTCCACTAAAGCTGAACCCGCCTTGGAGAGCTGATGGGTGTGGCAGAGTTCTGATAGAGCGCACTACAGACCACTGGTTCTCATCTCCTTTCTAGTCACTGTAGTTTTAACTCTGGCAGGGGATATGCCTTCCCCTCAGACCTTAATGGATCAGTGGGTGGTATTTTTTTCCATACAATAGATTTCCCCCTCTTTCAATTCCTCCCAGGTCCTCTCCACCTGCCTATCTGCCCAACTGTTTGCTTGCATTTCGGACTTTTCCAACCTTTCTGCCTCCTCTTCCACACAGACCCCTCAGTCTTGAGGGGAGGGATTTGATGGAGATATCCCATTCAGAACTCAGTGCTGTAGTCAGGCAGTGGTGGTACACACTTTTAATCCCAGAACTCAAAAGCCAGAGGTGAATGGATCTCTATGAGTTCGAGGCCAGTCTGATCTACAAAGAGAGTTCCAGGACAGTCAGGACTACATGGAGAAATCCTGTCTTGAAAAATCAAAGCCACCAACAACAGAAGAATAGAGTGTTCCAAAGTCCTCCATCATTGCACACTGGGTCTCTGTGTTAATCCCCATCTAGGGTAAGAAGCAGTTTTTCTGTTGAGGATTCAGCAAGGCATTGATCTATATGTATAGCAGGATGTCATTGGGAGTTATTTTAATGCTCTGCTCCATTAGCAGAATAATAGCAGAAGGTTTTCTCCTATAACTGATCAGGTCTCAGGTTGTTGGACAATTTAACAGTCAGTGTCAAGAATGGGTTCCATTTCATGGAATGGGCTTTAAATCCAATCAAAACATTTGTGCCACTATTGCTCTAGTATCTAGCAGGCATGTACTGTTGTAGCTCTGTGTTTATAGCTGGGTAATACTGATAGTTACTTTTCTCTGGTAGCATGCAGACTACTTTCCAGCACCATGAACAGTAGTCAGTAGGGGTGAAGCTTCTAGTTGACCAGCCTGACATCTCCTTGTTCAAGCATTGACTTCAGCAATAGGGCCCTATCATCAGGTTGTGGTGAGTAATATGTGCACAGCCTTGAAATAGCCTGTGATGTTTGGAGGTTTTCACTGGCTGGCAATTGCAATTGTCTCTCCTGAAGTTCAGTGTCTTATACTGTCTGTTATCTGGGATCTAAAAGCCATTGGTTTGTGTATGCTGCTAGTTTTACCATGTACAGTGGAGTAAATTGGGTTTTGTTATGCTTCATGGCTGTAAGCAGCAGACACAATGAACCCTAAATGTCGTTGTCAGTAAGCATAAAGGGGCAGAGTGAACCCTGAACTGTTATACACCATGTCAAAATTTTAATGTCTGTACCATCCAGCTATTGACATGAATAACACTATGGAACAAATTCCCTCTGGTTTATGGCAAGAAATGTTTGGTCTTGGAGTCACTGTGTCTGGGCTTGCTGTGATACGACTTAGTCTCCAGACTAGCTTGGTTTTGCTCTCTGTCTGTTGCAGGATATGGTCTTAAAAGACAGCAGCTATCAAGTACATCTCAAGATGTCACAGGAGTGAAAGAATTATTGTTGCAGTGTGTGTGTGTGTGTGTGTGTGTGTGTGTGTGTGTGTGTGTGTGTGTGGTGTGTGCATGGTATGTGGGGGCATGCATGCCACAGAGTGCATGTGGACATTAAAGGATTGTTGCAGGATATTTGATCATACTGTGAACCCAGGGGCTGCATTATTTACTGGAAAACCCTTCTAGCTGTCCTAGCACCTTTCATTTAAGAGCTTTCTGCTTGAATACTGTAAATAGGCTTAAATAAAATCAAGCTTAGATCAAGAGATGGAACAAGCAACCATTTGACAGCAAAAAAGTCATAGAATATAAGAGGAAGTCAGGAGGGTGGAGAGAGATACACACAGGAAGTAGAAGGGAGGGACAGTCAGTCAGAGGAGTTTTTGTTTGAATGGCGGAGGAGAAATCTCTCGCTCTGGGAAGATGGCTGCAGAGGAAGAGCTGAGTGCTTTCTCTGCATTTCTCAGCTAGCAAGATCTGGCTCCCGAGTCTTTATTAATAAAATGGAATGCTAGAGACTTAGTTAAAAGCAACCAAGGGTAACTTGTGGGAGTCAGTCCCTTCCTGTAGGTCCTGTGGATCAAACTCAGGCCATCAGGGTTGGTGGCAAGCGTCTTACTTGCTGAGCAATCTGAAATCTCCTTTTGCGGGATCTGTGAACACACTTTTCCTCCCAGCCCTCCTCCTGTGGAGAGGATGACAGGCAGCTGAATTCTATCCAGGACTGGGCCAGGGTCACTGACCAAGCTGCTCTCCAGGAAACATTTTAATTTCCATTTGGACTCAGACATTCCTTGTCCCTGATACACTGATGCTGGAGTGTCTTTTCAAAACATTCATCTCTTCCTCCCACATGCAGAAGCTCTTTGCGGGCAGGCACTGTGTGGTCCAGGGTGGGTCCACACCAAAGCCCCAACATCCACTGAGAGATTTAAGGTGAATTGTAAGGAGGCTCCCTCAAGATTGACTGCATTTCCATGCTGAAGAGCCTCCTGTTTGCAGTATGAGGTCTTACCTCATACTCCAGGTTTTACCAGGGGTGGGGAAGGGTGTGAAGAAGTGACCCCCACCCCATGGAGCTAAATCACTGAACCATAGGGAGATTCCAAGCCTGAGACACGGGTTTGGGCTCCAGCTCTGCCACTCATAAACAGAGGAAATGTTTAGTAAGATCTGACTCCGTGCTAGGGTCACAGGGATGACCTTGACAATAGGCTCTGGTTGTCACAACACTTTCCATCTTAAAGTCTGTGGCAGACCAAGAAATCAGCTGTGGAAGGGCAAGGCTGGCCTGCCCCATGCTTCTGGCTCCTAATGACACAAGCCAGGCTGTGACAAAGAACGCTACAGGCCTGCCTAGCTTCAAAGGGGAGTGAAAAAGCCAACAACATCCACCCAAACAAGTCCATCTGCTGTGTCATCTCCTTGTCACTCTCCAGGACCACGAGTTCTTGTATTTATGGGACACACACACCAGGAGCAGAAGGTATTTTATTTAGCTGTCATCATCTCTGAGCACCTACTCCTGCCCCTTACATGGGCTGGGAACACAACACGGGCCACTGCTGACTCTGTTCCTTCCCTTTCATGTCCACTTAGTCCAAGTCACACAGCCAGGTTGTGAAATGATGGGAGGGTCATGGGTAGCTCTGGTCTCCCTGTGGGGACAGGGGGTTTGGGCCTTAATTGTGTAGAATCCCACACAGCTTGGGGGGTGGGGGTAATGACTCAAAGTACTGATGCCTGCAGGATTCTGGGGAGCTTCCCACTAGTCTCTGTTTCTGTGCAGTCCTCAGACTGCGAGGATACATAGCTCCCTGGAGGCAGGACAAGTGGGTGATGGTGGAGTGCTTGGGCTGGGATACTGGCCCTTGAGGTACCCTGCATTCTACTGTGTTATCTGGGGCTCTGAAGTCCTGCCTAGCCTGCCATGGCCATTCCTGGGCTTCTGAGCCAGGAGTAGACTTGGGTGGTGGCTGGCAAATCGTTATAACTAACGGATTATCACCCTCCTGTGCTGCTCCGCCTGGGATGCCTCCTGCCTGCACGTTATGATGCTGTATTGCACAGTCGCTGGGATCCTCATAAATGTGACAGTGAGCAGCAACCCGGCCTTGCCCACCCTTCCAGCAGCTCAATCAGGACCACCCATCCTGAGCTCTCCCAGACACCATCCGCAAAGAAGCACAGCTCTCTTCCTCTGGCCTCAAATTTCCAGCTGCTCCCGGGTGGCTTTGTGTCATGTCTGTGGTCACCAGTGAGGGTCAGGGTCTTTATCTTGGCATCAGTCATTCTGTCTGCAGAACAGGGTGGGACCCTCATCAGAAAGTCAGTTGCTTCCCAGGCCTGAAAGAAGACAGGGTGCTGTTAGCTTGGGGAGGGGACTTTTCTCAGACCTGGCAGGCACCGGCACCGAGGGGAGGCTGGCCATACCCTCATCTGCAGGAAATACTTCCTTTGCTCTTTGCTAAGGAATCATCCCTCAACAGACCCACACTCATCCCAACCCCATGGTTTCCACTGGTGCCTACACACGCGCGCACATGCACACGCACACTTTAAAATGAGTCTGGAATCCACCGTAGGCATACAGCTTTAAGCCTGTGTTGAACAGGATACTTACATCAGTGCACACCAAGTGTGCGAGCATGGTATGAGTTCCTAGTTCACCTGCCTAAAGTGTGGATAATCAGTAGGTGCTGCTGGCAGCGGCACCAGTATTTACCCTCAGTGCACGAACTGGCTTTGGGGGCCCACTCCCTATGGAGGGCTGCTCTCTCAGCTTCGATCCGGGGAGGGCCTTGGTCCTCCCATATGATGTGACAGGCTTTGATGGTCCCTCATGGGAGGCCTCCCCTCTCTGAGGAGTGGATGCGGGGTGGGATGGGGGATGGAGGGCTAATGGGAGGACAGGAAGGAGAGGCACCTGGGATTGGTATGTAAAATAAGATTTGTTTTTAATTTAAATTAAAAATTAATTAAAACAAACAATAAGGTAGGTGTGAGAGGGACCGGCTGAGGCCTGTGGGGTGACGTGAGGAACACATTTGAAGACATTTCAGAGGGCAGGGAGGCGGCGGGCTGAGGCACTGGTAGGGCTGGTGAAGCTGAAGCTGCTGAGCCAGCTGGAAGTGGACCGTGGAGCTCGGCTGGGGTGACCCTGTCTGACTGTCTGTCTGTCTGTCTGTCTGTCTGTCTGTGCCCACTGGATGTGGGGGTAATAGGATAAAACAACATGGTCCCTTCCGCAGCCTGCAGGGCCAGCACTGTGTGTGAGGTCACAGCGTGTGTGAGGTCACAGTGTGTGTGTGAGGTCACAGCGTGTGTGAGGTCACATCGTGTGTGTGTGAGGTCACAAAGTGTGTGTGTGAGGTCACACTGTGTGTGTGTGTGAGGTCACAGCGTGTGTGTGAGGTCACAGTGTGTGAGTGTGAGGTCACAGTGTGTGTGTGTGTGTGTGAAGACACAGTGTGTGTGTGTGAGGTCACAATGTGTGTGTGAGGTCACAGTGTGTGTGTGTGTGTGTGAGGTCACAGTGTGTGAGGTCACAGTGTGTGAGGTCACAGCGTGTGTGTGAGGTCACAGCGTGTGTGTGAGGTCACAGCATGTGTGTGTGAGGTCACAGCATGTGTGTGTGAGGTCACAGCGTGTGTGTGTGAGGTCACAGCATGTGTGTGTGAGGTCACAGCGTGTGTGTGTGTGTGTGTGTGAAGACACAGTGTGTGTGTGTGAGGTCACAATGTCTGTATGTGAGGTCACAGCGTGTGTGAGGTCACAGCGTGTGTGAGGTCACAGCGTGTGTGTGTGAGGTCACACTGTGTGTGTGAGGTCACAGCGTGTGTGTGTGTGTGTGAGGTCACAGTGTGTGTGTGTGAGGTCACAGTGTGTGTGTGTGTGTGAGGTCACAGTGTGTGTGAGGTCACAGTGTGTGTGTGTGTGTGAGGTCACAGTGTGTGTGTGTGTGTGAGGTCACAGTGTGTGTGAGGTCACAGTGTGTGAGGTCACAGTTTGTGAGGTCACAGCGTGTGTGAGGTCACAGTGTGAGGTCACAGTGTGTATGTGAGGTCACACTGTGTGTGTGAGGTCACAGTGTGTGTGAGGTCACAGTGTGTGTGAGGTCACAGCGTGTGTGTGAGGTCACAGCGTGTGAGTTCAAAACGTGTGTGTGAGGTCACAGTGTGTGGGTGAGATCACTGTGTGTGTGTGTGAGGTCACAGCGTGTGTGTGTGTGAGGTCACAGCGTGTGTTTGTGAGGTCACAGCGTGTGTGAGGTCATAGCGTGTGTGTGTAAGGTGACACTGTGAGTGAAGTCACACTGGAATTTTGCAGAGATGCCCCCCAACATATTCTTTCAAAATACTTATTTTTGCATGTATTTACTCTGTGTGTGTGTGTGTGCGTGTGTGCGTGTGTGTGCGTGTGTGTGTGCATATGCCATGGCACACGTGTAGAGAACAAGGACAATTGTGGTCGCTGTATTTTCCCCCGTTTACCACACAGATGCTGGGAATGGGCTTCAGGTCAGCAGCTTGTCGCCCTTACCCGGTGAGCCAGCTCCCTTTCCCCATATTCAGACCTGTCCTAACACAACTCCAGGACAGGAAGGAAGTCAGGACAGGTGGGTGAGAGCTGGGACGGCCTCAGGCCTCAGGCTCCATGTTTCTCCTGTGCTGAGGAGAAGCCTGGGCTAGGATTACTACTGGGAGGCAGAAAGGAGTGGGGGCCAGCCCCTTCCTCTGAGGTCCTAATTCCTCTGGGTCAGCGTGCAGCTGTGCCCAGGAGGATGAAGAAGACATGCTGCACAGCAGAGCTGAGAGCATGGCACTCTGGGACATGGCTCCTCACATGAAGGGCCCGCCACACAGCCTTGCAGGTGTCATTCCTGTTGCACACACCGGGTGCCAGTAAAGCAGCGGACCTGGAGTAGCAGGGGTGACGGCATACCCTGGGATGGAGCATGTCACCGTAGATGGATCACTAAGTGGGGCCAGGGCTCATCACCAAGGCCTCCTTCCCTGATGCCAACTCTGGTGTTCAGTATGTTATGAGAAAGTTTATCTCTAAGGAGGCTCACTGACAGGAAACGGTGGCCACTGTCTACGACACACAGGATCACAGGATGACCTGTCCAAGGCCACAAATGGCAGAGATGGTTTGATCTGAGGTTGTGTCCTTCCTAACCCTCTGGGAGCTAGTGCACGCTCTCTCTCTCTCTCTCTCTCTCTCTCTCTCTCTCTCTCTCTCTCTCTCTGTGTGTGTGTGTGTGTGTGTGTCTGTTTCTCTCTCTCTCTGTATGCGTGTGTTTCTCTCTCTCTGTATGTGTCTGTTTCTCTCTCTGTGTGTGTGTCTGTTTCTCTCTCTCTGTATGTGTCTGTTTCTCTCTCTCTGTATGTGTCTGTTTCTCTCTCTCTGTATGTGTCTGTTTCTCTCTCTCTGTATGTGTCTGTTTCTCTCTCTCTGTATGTGTCTGTTTCTCTCTCTCTCTCTCTGTGTCTGTTTCTCTCTATATATATATGTGTCTGTTTCTCTCTCTGTATGTGTGTCTGTTTCTCTCTCTCTCTGTGTGTCTGTTTCTCTCTCTCTCTGTATGTGTCTGTTTCTCTCTCTGTGTGTGTCTGTTTCTCTCTCTCTCTGTATGTGTCTGTTTCTCTCTCTGTATGTGTCTGTTTCTCTCTGTGTGTGTGTCTGTTTCTCTCTCTCTCTCTGTATGTGTGTCTGTTTCTCTCTCTCTCTGTGTGTCTGTTTCTCTCTCTCTCTGTATGTGTCTGTTTCTCTCTCTGTGTGTGTCTGTTTCTCTCTCTCTCTCTCTGTATGTGTCTGTTTCTCTCTCTGTATGTGTCTGTTTCTCTGTGTGTGTGTGTCTGTTTCTCTCTCTCTCTCTGTATGTGTCTGTTTCTCTGTGTGTGTGTGTCTGTTTCTCTCTCTCTCTCTGTATGTGTGTGTTTCTTCTCTTTCTCTTTCTAACCCTCCCTCCCTTCCTTACCCCTCCCCATCTCTCTGACCCCTGGAAGCACTCTCAAGCAGACTCTTGGGGTTTGTTGATAGATAGGGCCTGTTCCTGGCACCTCTTAGAGAAGGAATTCTTGTAGCTTCGGACAGAAGCACTTCCAAATTCGGGGATTAAGGAAGATTATAAAAGGGCCCACAGAAAGGGGCTAACCTCATTTCCTCAGATGACTAAGCCATGCTTGGCAGTGTAAGGGCAGATTTGACTCCATGGATGATGAACACCTCTATGGGGGGGGGGCATACACCTGTCTGTAGGTGTCCCTGAAGAGATTTAAACATTTTGCTGGCATTTCCCTGGATCCTAAATCATCAATCCTATTCCTCCTGGCTCTCAGTGCATGCTCAGAGCAGGGAGCCTCTCTGGACTCCTGTTCCTGCTGTAGTCACAAACTCCTAGTAATGGGGCAGCAAGCTAAAATAAGAGCAGAGAGCCCCAGGCAGGGCCGGCTGTTGGCTTTGGCTGGGAGGGTGCTGGCCTGGCTGCTATTTGCCTGACAGCTGTAGCCTGATAAGTGGGTTTCATACACAATGCTAGGTAGGCCCTGGGCCATCCCCTGTGTGTGTCCTTTGGGCTCTGACCTCGGGGGGAAATGCGTCCCCCTCCCCCATCCCCTTCTCCATGGCTTCCCCTGAGTCTGCAAGATCACTTAGAAACCGGGAGGTTTTTTCCTTTGGGGACAACAACTGGATTGTGGGACTTGAGTGTGTTTTGATGAATTACTTCCAGGCTTCTGGCTGTTTGCAGAACAACACTCCCAGCTGCAGGACAAGGCAAGGCTTAGTTCCTCCCTCCAGTCCATCCTGGTCCTCCCCCCACCCCACCCCCAGGCTGAGAGGCACCAGCCCAGAGGGCAGCCCTTGCTGGCGTGGCTCTCAAGAGGGCGTGGCTCAGTGGAGAGAGCAGAACACGGGTTTCCTTGGCTTTGCCTCTTTAGCTGTCCAACCTTGGGCAACGTCGTCAACCATAGCAAGCCTGATTCATCTTTTGTCAGGACAGGGGTTCAGATCCCGCCTCTGCGTGCCTTATAGTGTGTCAAGAGCAAAACATGCAGTGCTGACCAGTCTGTGTATGTGTGTGCGTGTGTGAGTTGTGTGCCTGTGTGCACATGGGTGCATATGGAGACTGGGGCTCAGTCTTGAAGATTGTTACTCAGATGCCCGCCCACCTATTTTTGATTAATTAATGCACTCAGAGTGTGTGCGAGGGCCCATGTGTGGCGCTCGGAAGACAACTTGTGTGGGTTGGCTGTCTCCACCCACCGTGTGGGTACCGGGGATCAAAGCCACCAGGCTTGGCGATAAGCACCTTTACCTGCTGAGCTGCCTCACTGGGCCCACCTTGCCTTCTGTGACGGGGCTTTCCTCTGGAGTGGGACACTCATTTAGCCTAGGCTGGCTGGCCAGAGAGCCCACGGGCCTGTTTGTCTCCGCTTCCCCAGAACTGGGGCTGTGAGTGTGTGTGTCTTGCTCAGCTGTTTACACCGGTCCTGGAGAGGAAACTTGGGTCCTTGTGACTGTGCAGCAAACATTACCTATGGGGCCGTCTCCCCAGCCCTGATACATGTCTTAAGTGCCCAAGCAAGGCAGTGGTGGCACACGCCTTTAACCCCAACACTAGGGAGGCAGATCTCTGAGTTCACGGCCAGCTTGGCCTACGAAGTGAGGTTTAGGGCAGACAGGGCTACACAGAGAAATCTCGTCTCGAAAACAAAACAGTAAAAGTAAGTGCCCAGACTTGTTGTGGCTCTCCGGACTGTCAGGGACAGTGCCAGCAGGAAACACCGCTGGGACACCAACCTTTGCATGTCTTTCATGACATTTCTCTTATTACCAAAGTGGCTGCAGCACAACTTAAAAGCAAGCTCACACTTGCCTTCCTTGTAGGCTCTTGAGGGGAGGAATGATGGTTGACTTGTGCAGTTTATCATGGGGAGGGCCGTTAAGTCTATGTCCACTGTACATCATCACCTCTCACTTCCTCCTGGACGTTTCTGGTCCCCCCTGTGGCGGTTAATTTTGATGGTCAACTTGATTGGATTGAAGAGTGCCTAAGAAGTCAGCAAATCACATTTCTGGGTGCGTGGCAGTGTCTGGAATGGTTCACAAAGCAGGGAAGAGCCACCCTGAATGGAGTGGCTCCGTCGAGCGGGTTAGGGGTGCAGACAGGATCAAAGGGGAAATGGAGAAAGCCTTGACCCCTTCTGCTCACTTCCGGCTCCACTCTGTGAGCCCTTCTCTGAGGTTCCTGTCACCACAGACTGACAGTTCTGACACCCTGAACCCAAAGAGAACTCTTCTTAGAGTCTTTGTTTGCTCGGGTGTTTTGTCACATCAACGGAAAGGTGACAGACATACTCCTCTTCTATGACACCACAGACAGGCTTCATCTTCAGGCTCCGATCAGCAGCATGGCCTCCTCCTGACCCCTGCGTTTCCCAGCTGTCCCAGCTCCCTCCTCCGCATGGCTGCCCTCACTGGGAAGCTGCCTGTGTCTCTCCTTCCCTGTCTTCCCCCCTCACACATGCCTGACCCCACATGAAATGGCACCTGCCCACCACTGCTGCCCGGTGTGACCCACGCTGCTGCTCCTGGGGCTCACCCAGGGGACATCCAGTGACAGTCTAGTTGTTTGGTGTGAGGGTGACACTTTTCCTTCAGCTCCCGGGCTCCAACCATGTGCGACTGATTGCTCCCACGTCCCAGACAGGCACCAAGGAAGCTGAGTGAGCGTGGCATCCACCCGGGCAGGGCCACCACACGGTCCACGCCATTCTCCTTTTACGTGGTCTGTGGTTTGCGTTTGCTCACCAGGCTCGGTTCTCCATGTGGTGAGGTGGGACCGTTGGGGGGGCGGTCTATTGGGAGGTCCCTAGGTCTCAGCAGGAGCCTGAGCCCTGCAGCCAAGGGTGGAGGTGCCCGTTCTTAATCCTGGCACTCGGGGAGGCAGAAACAGGTGGATCTCTGAGCTCAAGTCCCCATCTCTCTTACCCGCATCTGCCATGAGGTTCCGAGTAGAGAAGAGCTGTTGCATTGTTCCTGACCTCCCAGAGCTGGGTCAAATGAAGCACTCTGCTTTACTATGCTATCCAGCCTTCGACATTTCATTAGAGCCATGGAAAATGGCCAGAGGGGTACACCACCGCGGAGAGCACTTTTTGACAAGCCAAGACAATGTTAAATCTATGAAATATTGGGATACGATTAAGACTAAGCCCAAGTGTAGGGTAGGAGGTCTGGCGTTGTTCCTGTGGGTGTCTTGGGTCGGAAAAGGCTTGTCCATGTTAAAGATGGTTAGCTGCCAAGCGAGCAGGCCCGTGAGGAAGGCCAGGAAAGGCCCTCTGTTTTCCTGCTATGGAACAGGTATTTCCTCCACGACTGACACAGTGTCCCCAGCCCTGGGCCTTCAAGTGGTGTTTACAAGCATAGCTCCTTGGCAAGAACTATGCGCCAAGGAGACGGGAGATTTTAGCCAGGGTTTCAATCAGTTACCAAACAGCTCTCAGCTCCTTCCTGTCTAGAGAAGGCTGGGCAGGGAGAGAGAGGTGTCTTCAGGGGACAGACAGCAAAGCCAACATCTGGAATGGGAGCAGGAGGCTGTCCAGGTGCAGCAGGAGCACCCAGGTCACCCACCCCGGGACATGGAGGTGGCAGAGGCCACTGTTGTGGCTGCGGGAGCATGCAGGGTGCCTCCTTCCCTTGCAGCTTCCTGCTTGCCCCAAGCCTCCCCGTCTCCCAAGGGTGGGGGACAAGAGCAGGGACCGCTGGGCCGTGGAGGCGTCCCAGGGCTGTGACTTACATTTCTTCTGCAGAATGCTCTGTCTGGCCCTGATGAACGCCAGGATGTCAGAATCGGTCTGGCTGTCCCCAGTGAGAGGGATGGATGACAGTGGCCTTTCGGGGACACTGAAGAGATACATGAGTCTCATGTCACAAGTCACTACATGTTATACCTGAATGTTGCCTCTCCAAACTGACTTCCTACCTTGCTTAGTTTTGTTTTTTAAACGTTAAAACATGAGCCTGTCTCTCTGTATGTCTGCCTGTGTGTGTGTGTGTGTGTGTGTGTGTGTGTGTGTGTGTGTGTAGTCAGAGGATAACTGGTGGCAGATGTTTCTCTCCTACCATGAATTCTGGGGATCAAACTCAGTCCATCACGTGTGTGTAGCATGTGCTACACCTGCTTTTCTGTCTCGGGTCACTTGGTTTTTGTCTGCTCTCCTGCTCTCCACTCCCTCTATGTGAAGGCCTCAACAATTCTTCCACTGTGCCCAAATTCCCCTTCATATCACTCCCGGAATAGAGTTCAAACCCCGCCCCATGGCCTCCTGGGTCCCCAGTGCTCTGACTGGTTTCTTCCTGCTTCTTCAATAAACTGATTCCTTCCAGTCTTCTGGTCTTCGCTCCAGCTGCTTCCTCTCCCTGTTATGCCCCTGCCCATCTCCCTACAGCCAAACAGTTCTAGGCCCAAGACTGGCAAAGCCAGGGGAGCTCTCTACACCAGGGAAGGAGGAGGGGAGGGGCCTGTATCCCTCTCTTTACCAGGAGAATTCCTGGAAATTTCACACAACTCTTCTGTTTACAAATTACTTTGGCCTTGTGGCTGCAAAGGGTGCTGGGAAATGTAGTTTATTAACAGCAGCACTTTGGCTAAATACGGTTGTGATCTGAACAAGTAGCGATACACCCTGTCAGCAGTGTGTCAGTAGAGGGGAGACATCATCAGGGTGTCAAATCTATGTGGAGTGACGAAGGAGAGTAAGTTAGTCTAGGATGAGACAATAAGAAGGTGAAGGTAGGTGACAAGTTACCCTAATCAGGGCCCCGGCCTCCTGGGGACGCTAGTCAGCTCTCTTTGGCAGGGGCCAGCGGGCTCTGGCAGAACTGCCCTAACTGGCAGACCAGGTTGGCCTTAAACTCTAAGACACACCTGCCTCTGTCCCCCAAGTGCTGGGACTAGAGGTGTGTGCCACCACACCTGGTGAATCTTCTACATACACCAGGAGATGGGAGCCTCAAAGCTCTGAGGGAAATTCCTCCAGTTCTGAGAGCAGAATGCAAGAGAAGATCTGGGGGGACCTCCCAGGCACCAGGGCAGGGGTCAGCCCCAGGTTCTGCCTACAGCAATTGGACAAGGGGCCCCTCAGGTGGTTGGGGATGCAGACTTTAGGGCTCACTGCGCCACTGCAGGGACTGTCACAGTATTGGGGGAGGTACATACCTGTCTTGCAGCTGGGTCCTGGAGTCACTGGGCCCTTGGCTGTACTGACTGGGGCATGGGGAGGGAAGGATTCTTCTGGAAAGCCTATCACTGCAAAACCAAAACAACAAAAGCCAGAAGTCACGGGGAAGTGCGTAGGAGAGACTCGGGGTGTGCATCCTCTCCACGTTCATATGTTAAAGCCCTAATTCCCGGAGCGATGGCATGGCATCTGGAGGTGGGCCTTGGGGAGGTGACTGCATAGATGAGACCCAGCCCTCATAATGGGACTCGTGCCCTTGTGAGAGGGAGACAGCCTAGAGCACTGTCTAGACACCACAGGAAGGAGGGGTCTACACACTGGGAAGGGGGCCACCAGCAAGACCTATATCTCTGTGATACGGTGTCCACAGGGTGAACCTAGCCCTAAAGTGGTGGAGATGGCACCTTTGAGTGGTCAAAAGGTCATGGGACAAAATCCTCAAGGCAGGGATTAGCAATTTTACAAAAGAAAAACGAATGCTTCCTGACCCTGACCCTGGGAGGGGACGGGCCCTTACCAGACATCCGGACTGCCAACTACATCTTCAGCTTCCCAGCCTTGAGAACTGAGACAAACAGAGAAGAAAGCGTGTGGAGCGTGTTCCAGCAGGTGGAGGGTTACCTGGCATATGCAAGCTCCTGGGTGTGGCCCAGGACCAGAAAAACCAACCACAACCAACCCAACCGACCGGTGAGCCACTCAGACGCCGGCAGTTTGTCACAGCCACCGGAGAAGACTGGACTGACAGACTGACCCCCGACACCCAATCCCTGACTATCCTGGATAGTTACATGGCGATGGCAAAGTGTCCCTGGCCGAAAGAAGATGGACAGCACACAAGGTCTGCAATGATCGCAGCTGTCGTTTATGGACGGTGTCGACAACCAGGCAATCAGGCAGTGCTCTGTGACATCGTGCCCCTTCGTGCTGTCACCTTCAGCAGCCTGGGGTGTTAGACCTTCAGGGGCATGGGCTCAGAAAGGAATTTCAGGACTAATGAAGCTATGAGGCAGAGGTGGAGTTAATAGATGTATTAGCCAAAGGCTTGCATACACCCATGAGGTGTGGGCTTCTCCACACGCGGCAATCCTTAACTCTCCGCTGGACCAAGCTCCCAGCAGAAGGGAGGGAGGAGTGATAATGTGAGCAAAGGGGTCAAGACTAGGATGGGGAAAGTCACAGAAACAGCTGACCCGAGCTAGTGGGAGCTCACTGACTCCAGACTGACAGCTGGGGAACCTGCTTAGGACCAAACTAGGCCCCCTGAATGCAGGTGACAGTGGGTGGCTTGGGCAGTTTGTAGGGCCACTGGCAGTGGAACCAGGATCTAGCCCTAGTGCACGAACTGGCTTTTTTGGAGCCAGTATCCTATAGGCTTAGCCTAGACACGGGGTGGGGAGAGGGGGGCAGGCAGGAAGGGAGTTGGTCCTGCCTCGGTGTGGTGATGGGATAGACTTGGATGACTTCCCACGGGAGGCTGTACCCTCTCTGAGGAGCAAAAGGAGGGCTGGGAGAGAAGGGGGAGCAGGGGGAGAAACTGAAATTAGTATGTTTAAGAAAAAAGAGGCGTGGGCTTCTCTAAGAAGAGTCTCAGAGAGTAAGACACGTCAGGTGTGGGCACCAGGCTCCCTCAAGGGAGAGGCACACCGGACCATCTCAGCAGACACCATATATCTTTCTGAGACGCGAGATTACGGGGTGGCTCCAGACAGTCCTCGGGTGACACTATAACCTGATAGGTGCTACCAGAGCCACTAGGGCTGCTCCAGGGACTTAGGACATGTCCTTTCCCCGTTTCTGTCAGGAGTGCTAGACAACGAACGGCAGGCTTGTAGCTGGTGGGGGGTGGGGGGTGGTGGGGGGGGTGGGGGGAGGGCCTTAAGCAGCTGGTTGGTAACTGCGCTGGCCAGCCTCCTGCTCTCTGCTGGCAAGCTACTTCAGATGCATTCTGCAGTGTGGACTTCTTTCCGCTGTCATGTCCCTACATTTTCCCATTTTTTTTTTTTCCCATCGTGTCTCAATTTAGCCCCTGCTGTGATCTGGATGGGAAATGTCCCTCCCTCCCAGGGGCGCTGGTGTTAATAGCTTGGCTGCCAGCTTTGGTGGGGAGTCTGGATCCTGAGAGCCCTGCCCACATCTACGGGTCAATCCTCTGATAGATTCTTGATTTGATGACAGACATTATCGATACACAGTGGTTCTGGGTTGGAGGAAGTAGGCCGCTGGCGGGGGGTGGGGGTGGTTGGGGGAACACAGCTTTGGTTTCCAGACCCTTCCTGTCTGTTTCTGCTTCCAATGCTTTCACAAGGTCTGCATGTCCTCTCCTCCTAGGATCTGTGGCCACACCCCCGTCCAATGCAATGGATGCAGCGCACCTCAGACCTAAACCCCGAGAACCTGGGTCAAGATAAACCTTCCTTCCATCAAGTTGCTTTTCTCACAGGCATTTTGTCACAGCATGGACAATTCGAACATAAAGCCCCCTAGCGGTCAGAGAGGACGCCATCACGCCTGTCTTAGAGATGAGAGCAGAGATGGAGAGGTTAAATAGCAGAGCCTGAAGTGTGCACATCTCCTAGGCGCCTGTGTCAGTACAGCCGTCGGTAGTGACCAGCCCCTGCTGGCGCTCCAGAGAGTCACTTTTTCATCTTCCCTTGGCCACACTGCTGCCCCGGATGGTCCCTGAAGACCACTGTATGCTCACCACGGGAGGAGCCGCACCTGGCAGCTCACAAGATGTGTTAGGCCCGCTTAGCCTCACTGCCTGGTGTGTGCTCCTTGCCCTTGGCTGCGAGAACCCTACATTCCTCCTGTGGTCTCCATTCCTCGTGTCCCTCTAGGTGACACTACAATATGCTCTCTTACACGGACTCCGGACCCTCTTCTGTACTTTGGGATGGTCCCGTGAAGAGCGGTGTCAGAGGCAAATGGGACTTAAGAAGTCACGAGGTCAGAACCTTCATTTTACAGCTGGGGACACTCAGGCTGGGAGGCAGGCCAGGGTGACAGACAGGTGGGATTTGTAGCAAGTGTGCTGCCATCTACCCAAGCTTTTGCTTAGGCCTACAGCTTGCTTTCCCATAAATGAGTTTGGCTAGCTGCCTAGAACCAAACTTTTGTTCTCCTACCTCAGACATGATGACAGGACGGACCCCTTCCCATGAGGCTGCCTCCACAGGCTCCCGACCATGAGTCAAATAAGCAGGAAGGGAAGCCAGAGAATGTCAAACCCTACTCACACCCCCACACTCATCCCCTAGCAATCTAAAGTTTCTCTGTGGAAGCCCAGGGAAGGGAAAGGAGCTGTGCTGGGTTTGACTTGGGCTGCTGCAGGACCAGAGACAGCCACAAGGTGGCAGACTCTGCACATTTTTCTTGGGAGAAAGGTGCCTCAAGGGTGGTTGGAGGGAGCCCTGGGAAGGGAAGGAGTGGTCCCCAGTCCCCGCCCCCCCCCCCCCCCGCAGGTGCCACCTTCACAGCAGGCCACGGGCAGTTAGGAGGCAGTAGTGAATCCGAGGGAATGGCCGCTGGCTCTCCAACGGTCCTTTCACACCATGCTTTTCCAGTTTATCTTTCTGCACAGGCCAGGGCAAGTTCACAGATGCCAGGCTGCTGGGGGTCAGGAGTGAGCAGCAGCATGAAATGGACCGCCGGGGAGCAGGGCAGAAGGATGTGGCCACACCACACAGACAGAGGCGGACAGCGGCTCCTGTAGAGGCCAGCTGCCTGGTCTGTTCCCTCATGCGGCCCAGACACGAGGAGGGCACAGTGTGAAGTTTGGAGGTGGCACTGGGTCCCTTGGAACTGGAGTTACAGGAGTGATGATCCCATCACAGGTGTCTGTGACAACCCGGCGTGGCTGCTGGGATCTGAGCTCCAGTCCCAGGACAGCGCAGTAAGTGCTTTTAACTGTGCAGCCATCTCTCCAGTCCAACAGTACCCTTAAACATTTTAATAAAGCCCAATTTACTATATTTTCTTTCATGAATTTACTGATTTTTTAAGGAAACCTTCAGACATCCAAACAAAACACTCCACCAGTTGTTGGCCTGTGGTGAGTGGTGGGCACTGTTTTCCGGAAGCCGAGTGCCAGGCATGCCTCTGGGAGGCCTGGTGGAATGTCACCAGAAGTAGTGTGTCTGATATATGGAGATTTTTGTTTTCTAGATAAGATTTATTTTTTAAGTCAAAATGTTTATTTTTAATTGTGTGTGTGTGTGTGTGTGTGTGTGTGTGTGTGTGTGTGTGTGTGCCCAGAGAAGCCAGAACGTGGGCTCCCCTGGTGCTGGAGTTACAGGTGTGGCTGTGAAAGGTCTGGCGTGGGTTAGAGAAGGAATCCCAGGTCCCTCTGCAAGAGCGGCAGATGCTCTTAATGGCTGAGCTGTCTCTCCAGTCCTAAGAGTCTGGAGCTTTAGATACTGCTAGAAGCCTTGCAAAGACAGTGCAGGCAGTCACCCCCCCGCCCCCGCGTCCCTTTCCGTGGCAGCTGGCACGGTCCTGCACTTCCCCAGCTGGATCTACTCTAACTCCAGTGCACACCCTCCATGCCTCGCCTCTTTCAGCTGCAGCAGGGCCACCCAGGGCACTGTGTCGCCTGGGTCTGCACTGTCTCCCCTAGGCTCCACGACTCCAAGACTCTGCTTTTTATGACCGTGTCACTTTGGTGCTACACTGGCCAGGCATTTTGTAGAATGTGCCTTGGCTGGGATTTGTGTGACATTTCCCTCAGGCTTCTCCTGGCACTACCTAGCATTTTAAAGAAATGTATGTGTGCATGTGTGTGTATGCACATGTACCTGTGTGCACTTGTGCATATGTGTATGTGTGTGTATGCATCTGACATATTACTTTTATTTATTATTTTAATATATATTATTATTTTGTCTGAGTGTTTTGCCTGAGTATATGAAAATTCACTGCATGCATGTGTGTTGTCCTTGGAGATCAGAGGAGGCATCAGATGCCCTTGACTAGAGTTCCAGATGGTTGAGAGCGGTTATGTGAGTGCTGGGAACCAAACCTGGGTCCTCTATAAGAGCAGTGTGTGCTCTTAAGCTCTGAGACATCACTGCTGTTTCCTGGTAGGTTGGTGCCCTTTGACACAAAGGTTTGATGGCCCTGGATGGCAGAGATGGGTGCCTCACTCACTCACCCTGCCCCCTCCTGTGGCCTGGCAGGGGTGGGTGGCAGGGGGTGCCAATCAGAGACGGCCACCGTGTTCAATGACTAGTGTGACACCAGAGCATGGTGTGCAGAGACATGCAGTCCCAGTGGGAGCTGGTGCTGTAGGCACTTGCAACTCATGCAGCCATGCCGGAGGCTGCCCACATCTTGCCCATGTATCTCTGGAATCTTTCTAGGACAAGGGATGCTAATACTCTTGTTACAACTCCCTGGCTCCTGGTGGATTGACTGCTAGCTACGCCTCCCTAAGGACTCCTCCCAAACCATGCCCCTCCTGCCCACACCAGCCTCTTCTTCCTCCTCAGCTGTCAGGGACAGGGCTCACACGGTTGGACCAGTTTTCTTCTGTTAAGTGGTGGTAGGTGCACTGAGTGGGAGTATAGAGGCGTGTGCACTCAAGGGAGCTTAAAGCCACAAGCCCTGGGGGGCTAAAACTAATTAAACAGCAAAGTCAGTCCATTCTCCCACACCATGAGAGCCTTTTCCTGGATGCCCTGACTTAGCTCATGGTTCTGTGCTGACCTTTTCTTGGAGAGAAGCTGTGGCTCGTCCTGCTGGGGAACTGGCTTCGGGCCCTCCTGGGGATTCATGGCTGGGGAGTTTACCTGTTGGCTCAAGAAGACATTTTGTAAGTTAGCTTAAGTCCATGGTATAATGTTCCCCATGTAACTCTTGTCCTCTGTCCCCTAGCTGTGGGTCTGGAACTGGCTAGGCAAGTGCTCCGAAACTGAGCTGCACCCTGCATCTTTGATGTAGTTCTTTAAAACACTGTTCTTTGAGAATCTTTATTATATGTATGTGAATTTGGGTCGGGTCCCCGGGAGCTGGAATTATAGGCAGTTGTGGGTGCTGGGAACCCAACTCTAGTCCTTTGGAAGAATAGGAAGTGCTCTTAGCCACTAAGCCATTTCTCCAGACTGTTGATGTCATTCTTAAGCGGGAAAGCTTATTGTAGAGGTCACGATGTACGTGACAAAAAATAGACATAGTTACAACTACAGATTTGTTCACTGAAGACATTATAAGTAAGGTCTAGTGTGTTTTCTATGCCCCAGGCCTCCAAATGGAGCATATATTATTTTTTTTCAGGTGGAAAGAGAAGAGTATGATGTCAATCAGCAATTATCAGGAAAACCTTCCTGGGTGTGTTTCTCCTTGTCCCTAAGTCCTCTTATGGAGTCAAAGAACACTTCCGGAGCACTGACCTCTGCATATCTCCATGACCCTGGAGAACAAGGCTGAAGGTAGTGATGGCTCTGAGTTTCCCATAACACCCCAGGAGCCCCCCACAACACCCCAGGAGCCCCCGACAACACCCCAGGAGCCTCCCACAACACCTCAGGAGCCTCCCACCACACCCCAGGGGCCTCCCACCACACCCCAGGAACCTCCCACCACACCCCAGGAGCCTCCAACCACACCCCAGGAGCCTCCCACAACACCCCAGGAGCCTCACACAGCACCCCAGAAGCCTCCAACCACACCCCAGGAACCTCCCAAACACCCCAGGAGCCTCCAACCACACCCCAGGAGCCTCCAACCACACCCCAGGAGCCTCCCACAACACCCCAGGAGCCCCCCCACCACACCCCAGGAGCCTCCCACAACACCCCAGGAGCCTCCCACAACACCCCAGGAGCCTCCAACCACACCCCAGGGGCCTCCAACCACACCCCAGGAGCCCCCCACCACACCCCAGGAGCCTTCAACCACACCCCAGGAGCCTCCCACAACACCCCAGGAGCCTCCCACAATATCCCAGGAGCCTCACACAGCACCCCAGAAGCCTCCAACCACACCCCAGGAACCTCCCAAACACCCCAGGAGCCTCCCACAACACCCCAGGAGCCTCCAACCACACCCCAGGAGCCTCCCACAACACCCCAGGAGCCTCCAACCACACCCCAGGGGCCTCCAACCACACCCCAGGAGCCCCCCACCACACCCCAGGAGCCTTCAACCACACCCCAGGAGCCTCCCACCACACCCCAGGAGCCTCACACAGCACCCCAGGAGCCTCCCACAATATCCCAGGAGCCTCCCACAATATCCCAGGAGCCTCCCACAGCACCCCAGGGGCCTCCAACCACACCCCAGGAGCCTCCCACAACACCCCAGGAGCCTCCCACAATATCCCAGGAGCCTCCCACAGCACCCCAGGGGCCTCCAACCACACCCCAGGAGCCTCCCACAATATCCCAGGAGCCTCACACAGCACCCCAGAAGCCTCCAACCACACCCCAGGGGCCTCCCACCGCACCCCAGGAGCTTCCCACAACACCCCAGGGGCCTCCCACAGGACCCCAGGAGCCTCCAACCACACCCCAGGGGCCTCCCACCACACCCCAGGAGCTTCCCACAACACCCCAGGGGCCTCCCACAGGACCCCAGGAGCCTCCCACCACACCCCAGGAGCCTCCCACCACACCCCAGGAGCCTCCCACCACACCCCAGAAGCCTCCAACCACACCCCAGGAACCTCCCAAACACCCCAGGGGCCCCCCACAACACCCCAGGAGCCTCCCACCACACCCAGGAGCCTCCAACCACACCCCAGGGGCATCCCACAACACCCCAGGGGACTCCCACCACACCCCAGGAGCCTCCAACCACACCCCAGGAGCCTCCAACCACACCCCAGGAGCCTTCCAGAACACCCTGTGAGCATCCCAGAACACATTCTGAGCCTCCCTGAAGATCATGTGAACCTCCCAGAACACCCCTCATGTCTCCTAGAATACCCTGCAAGCCTTCCAGAACACCCCATGAGTCTCACGGAACACCCCGTGAGTCTCCCTGGACCTGTGGGCATGGCGAGCCTGCAAGGAGCTGCAGCCAGGCTGCTCCCATCGGCTTCCTGACACTCTGCGAAGGCATCACACAGGCATCCTCTCCCTTGTTCCGCTTCAGTCCACCTAGGAGACGTTTATAGGGTGGGCTATGAAACTACCCACAGCTGAGTGGCATCGGCTTCCCTGTGGCAAGGTATCTGCGATCTCTGCTGTCGCCATCTGGCCTCTTTTGTTTCAGGGACAACACCGTAGGTGGCAGGAGGCACATCTGAGCACCTTGGCGGCACTGGCTTTCACAGTCTATGTAACTCACGAGCAATGGGAATCTGCTAGCCTTGTCAGATGTGACCCTCGTCAAGTCCAGTGCTAAACACCCTTGGGCACCTGCTGAAGGCCTCACTCCCAGACGAACTCACTAGGAACAGTTTTGGACCCAGAGTGCCAACAGAGGCCAGGGTCGTTGTGGACATGCATCTCCCCTAACTTCTACCTGAGATTAATGGATGGCAGCAATGGCCCCTGTGACTTTGTTACCAACCAAAACCACACACATTGTTATATCATCATGGCTGGTGCAGAGACTGAAATACTGTGTTCATTGTGACTCTGAAATTATGGTAAATGCTGACAATACTTCATTGATAACCATATGTAGCTACAAAAGGATATTTTACTACATAGCTTTCTTTTAAAATTATTTTGATAGCTGTATTTCAGACTTTAGTTTTATTTTCCCATGTATTTTAATGAACTATTTTTTATAGTACTGTCACATGGTCTGGTAATGTAGAAATTTATTATTTTTGATTTTTAATTCATTTATAAACTTATTCATTGGTGTGTGTGTGTGTGTGTGTGTGTTTGTGTGTGTGTGTGTGTGTCTACAACTTCTGGGAATGAGTTTTCTCCACACACTAAGTGGGTTCCAGATCATCCGCCATATCATCCCCCATTTACTATCATGCCACATACATGTACTACATGTAAGTCTAGGTTGCACACATGAGAAACACATGCGGTGTTTATCTTCCCAAGTTTCCCCTATTGAGCAATTATCTCCAACTCCACCCATCTTCCTACAAAGGGGATGCTGTCATGGCCGACTAGAACTCTCTGCATACACAACACCTTTTGTCTTCTCATTGTTGATGGACACCTACACTGGCTATTGTGAACAGAACAGCTAAGAGAAAGGTGTGCACATATTTCTGTTGTATGCTTAGGCTCCTTCGGGTACACATCCAGGCATAGCTGTTCTAGTTTCTGTCTGTTGAGGAACTGTAATACTGATTTCCATAATAGATGAAAAAATTCTTTTTGAGATGAGGTCTTACCTGTGCGTGGCCTAGACTGGTCTTGAACTCACAATTTTCTTGCCTCTGCCTTCTAAGTGCTGTGTCAGCAGTAGTAATGTGCTGGTCAGTGCTTGTCTGGGTGTTCTGGGTCAGACACCTTTTCTGCCCTGCGGTTCCATTGCCCTTAAAGTGAGGGGTGAGCCTGGGAGAGACTCTCCCAGGGTGATGTGAAGCTCTGACCTCCTCACTTCCACCCTAGCATATGCAAGGGTTGCACAGGGCAAAGAAGAAGCTGAGATTTCTACTGATGTATTTTAACCGTTATTTTAGCCTTCACAACATCAGAGACTTTCTAGGGCTTTGTCTGGGAAATATGCAAAAATTACCTACAGATACGTCTTCAGTGAAGATCCAGAAGCCTCCTAAATATTCAAGAACAGACTGACTAAAGTGTCTAAAGTATATTCACGTGATGGAACAGTGACAGTTGGGAAGGACACTACAGAATTAGGGTATGAAAATGCAGTCATCCCAAACAGCTAAAAACACAAGGCCAACCAGGACACTTGAAGACCAATAGGATGTAGCTGGGTAGTAGGATGCTTGGCCAGCATGCCTGAGATTCTGGGCTTCAGTCCTGGTACCACAGCCCTAAACCAACCAACCCCCGCCCCCTGCCGCACACACGCGCTCACGTGCACACACACACACACACACACACACACACACGCATACACGCACACACACCCATCCAAATGGTAAAAACACCATGCTCGGTGCTGTATGGGGGGGATAAGCATGCAAGTTGTCATAAGTCAGCCTGTTAATACTGGTTCTCCCTATGTGGTGAAATAAAAGTGATTTCTACTTTCTTTGTGTTTTCTAAAATTTCTAGAACCAATACGCAAGTGTGTGTGGCTCTGTCATAAGAGAAGGATCAGGTGGGTATGGTGGCACACGCCATTAATTCCAGCACTGGGGAGGCAGAAGCAGGAAGGCCTTTGAGTTCAAAGCCAGCCTGGTCTTCACAGAGAGACACGGCCTCAAAGAAAGAAAGAACAAACTATCAGGGAAGGGAAGAAAGAGAATGAATGTCAAATGACACCTCCACATATCTTAGATGACGCAATGGAGATACAATCACTGTTCTGGAGTCGTCTCCCACCGGTCAGGCCATGGAGGCCCTGGAGGAGACACTGGCTCCTGACCGTGTGTCCCTGCCACTTGGTTTCCTGGGCCAGGCCCAGCGCTCATAGGTCTGAAGTTTGAAGCCCTCACTTCCCCGTCTCCCGGAAGCCACCATCTGTGCATGACTGGTGTTCCCGCAGCACACCTGTAGATTGCTGGCCTCCTCGGCCCACCAGACTTGGAACTCCTTCTGCAGCTTCATCTTGGCTTTGTCCATGAGCAGCTGTAGATGTTCAATCTCCACCTTGAGGGCTTTCAGGCGCGTGAACGTCGCTTTGTACCTACAGTGGGACCAGAGAAGTCACCAGCACAGGAAGGGGCTGTAAATGAAGCAGGCCTCAGAAGCCTGGCAGAGCTGCCCTGGTGCTCAGCGGGGGACCAAGAGGGGTCTGCCAAGACTAGAACACGACACCGGGTGTTGAACCCAGCAGAAAGATCAAAGTGGGTCATTTTTTGGTCAGCAGGCACTTGGGGAATCTTCCCCAAGAAAGAGAGCTCCCTTTCATTGGGCATGCACTCAGGACAAGTGTGGCGGTTATCTTCACTGTCAGCTTGGCTAGATTCTGAGTCACCTAGGAGGCACACCTCTGTCGGTACCCAGAGGGTGTTTCCAGAGAGGTTTCACTGAGCAGAGCTGGTGGACCCTGAATACTGGCAGCATCAGCACCAACACATGGACTGAATGGAACAAGAAGACTGGGCAAACTGAGCGCCAGCAACCATCTCTGAGTAAGCAGCAGCCTCGTGTGCCTGCCCATGCCTTCTTCCCTTAGACTGTGAGCACAAATAAACTCCTCCTTCCTTGAGCTGTGTTTTCTACTGCTTTTCATGGCAATGGAGAGAGCACTAACACATCGAGGGGCAGATGACAACTAAGGAAAATACTAATGTGGGTGACAGCACACAGGTGTGGGTCACGCTTCAGCCTTTGCTGGGAAGCTGTGAGGGAGTGCAGTGCCAGGTGCTGGCATTGCCAGTGTGCGTGCGTGCGCGTGTGTGCGTGTGTGCGTGTGTGGCTGTGAGCATGTGTGTGCCTTCATTTGCACGTATGCATGTGTGCATGTGTGTTTGCCTGTGTGTGTGCACGTGTGCCTGTGTTCATGTGTATGTGCCTGCATGTGTGTGTACATGTAAGTCTCTGTGCATGCGTGCGTGCATGCGCGTGCGTGTATGTGACCATGTGCCTGTGTGTGTGTGTCATCATGTGCCTGTGTGTGCATGAGCATTTATGTGTGACTTCATTTGCATGCCTGTGTGCTTGTGTGTGCATGTGTTCATGTGTATGTGCCTGCATGTGTGTGTACATGTATGCCTCTGTGTACGTGCACGTGTGTGCTCGCATGCATGTGTGTGCATGTGCATTGTGCGTGTGCATGTGTGCTTTTGCATGTGCTGGGAAGCTGTTGCAGTGATGCCATCAGTAGCTCGTGGCAGGAAGGTGACTTGTTCAGGACCTCCGGATCCCAGCTGTGGCATGGAGAATAAAGGAATGAATGACCATGACTGGGGAAATATCATCACACTGTAAGGAAAATCACTTTGGGCCCAGGGTAAGCTTTGGTGAAGCACACCATGGTTCCTCCAGAGCAGTGGTTCTCACCCTTCCTAACACTGCGACCCTGTAACACAGCTCTTCATGCTGTGGTGACCCCCAACCATAAAACTATTTTGTTGCTACGTCAGAACTGCAATTTTGCTACTGTTATGAATTGTAATGTAAATATCTGATGTGCGGGACATCTGATACGTGTCACACCCCACAGGATGAGAACCACTGCTCTAAATAGCCGTGGCCATTTGGACAGGGTGCTTCCCTACTGTTTGAGGTTCCAGGCTGGACCCATTTCCTAAGAGGAAGTTGGAGGTAGTCCTGGAGGCCCAAGGGGGTTGGGGTCAGAATGCATGTGACAACAAACACTAACAAAGGACAGCTCACCTAGTCTTTTCCTCCTCCAGCTGTGATCGAAGTTTCTCTTCCTGGAGGTCAGGCATGGAGGGTGTGCCAGCATTCTCTGAGATTCCTGGAGGAGGAAGATGCCAGTGGGTTATAGAAAGGCACAAGGACAAATGTGATGGGGCCAGTAACAGAGTTCAAGGGCATCCAAAGACACAGGGGTCCCGGGAGTTCCTTCCGGAGCCTCTGGGTGGCAGCCTGAGCTTGGCTTCCGTCACTGGAGGGGATCCTTCTGCCTCCCATCTTCTTCCCGGCACCCATGAGCTCTGGGGTCCATATGGAAGAGGCAATTGCATTTCCACACTGGGGAAAGAACCCTTTCTAGACCAAGAAGAGGGCGTGGCTCTGCCCGCCTTCCTGTGCCTGCCCCAGCCGGCTGCTCCAGGATCAGAACCTTAGCCCTTGTCCTCCACCTCCATATGAGGCGGAGGTTTTCAGGCTGACTGAGGTGATATGAATCTGATCCTCTGTGACCAGAGATAGAACCTAGGGCCTAGGGGAGGCTGACTCCTCTGTATGGGAACCTGTCTGTAGCTGTAGCTGGGGAGCCCCAGGCACCCTCCTAGCCCATCCGCTAAACCTCTGAGTGGTGTCTTGGTGATAACCATTGGGCAATGCTTCTTAGTCAACGCAGAGGTATCACAAAGCCAGGGAAGTGAAGGCCTCACCTACCTTCCCAGCTCCACCCATCCTCCAGCCCATTCCATCTCTGCCACGGCCCAGAGGGAAGGTACCAAGCCTCCCCCCCCCCAATAGTGAAGGCCCTGTCACAGAATGAAGGCCTCCCCCACCCCCAATCCTGCTCTCCCAGCCACTCCCCACAGCCCCTGTTCCCTAGTCTACGGGCTTCCTGAACAAGATCAGATTTAACCCTGATGGCAATTATTTGAGGAAGCATCATTCCTGTATTACTCCTGAGACTTAAGGAGGCTAATCTGCTGAATCCTGGGGCTAACTTCCAGATCCTGGGTGCAGATTCCCATTTATGTGGGTGCCAGGGTCCTGAATTCATGTGTGTGGGAAGTGTGTGTGTGTGTGTGTGTCTTGGCATCCATTTATGGAGTCCATTCTCTCCTTCCACTTCCAACCAGGTTCCTGTGTCACAGGTTTCACCCACTGAGCCACCTTGTCAACCCAACATCCCTGGGGAACGATCATTTGCTTTCTGCACAGTCATGCAGTGCCCCGCAGTTCAATGCTGTATAGGAGAACATATTTCGCTGGCCCCAGCAATTTCCACTGGTTCTGAGCAGAGACCGTCCCCACTAATGTCCCCCTTCATCTCCACCTGGCTTTTTGGAGCAGCGCAGAACGTCTTTTCTATTCGGAGGGCCCTTTAAATATGAAACACCACACAACATGAGACTGGAGTCTCTGGCGGGCTTACTTGTCCATTTCCTTGAGTGGAGGTCCAGGGACCTTGATACTGCCCAATTATCTCATTTCAAAATCAGAGACCTTGTGTAACAGTCCATCCAGCGTGAGAGGTGCAGGGTGGAGAGGGGCTCCTTCCAGCTTTTAAATATACAATTTCAGGCCGGGGACGGCTCAGTGTGTAAAGTGCTTGCCATGAAAGCAGGAGGACCTGAGTTTGAATCCCCAGAGGCACAGCAAGCTGGTGCAGTGGCGTGCATCCTGGGGTAGGATGCAAGCTGAAGGTGGGTGAGTTGCTGGAGGCCCACTGTCCAGCAGGCCTGCCCTCCACAGCATCAAATGACAAAAAAAGGGGCCCTGCCCCTGATCAAGGTAGAAGGCAAGTTCGCTTCCAACCTCTGCCTCCATGTGTGTGCCGTGGCGTGCATCCCACACCAGCATCACACACACCAGGTGCGTGTTCTCAGTTGGACAGGGAGGCTGAGGCAGAAGAATTAAAAACTTGAGGCCATCCTAGGCTGCATAGCTGGGTTATAGGAGACCCTGGTTCACACAAAACCACCCTCCAGAAACCCCAAGTAACTCAGTCTATTTCTGTAGCAGGAGAGTTACTAATGCGGGCCATTTATTGAATGCCTCTCTCTGAAATGTCCCGACAAGTTCACTAGGCACATGGTCCTCCATACACCCCCAACTCCTTAGAGTAACCATGCATGGAAGGCACTAGCAACTCCCTGCAGTTAGACTTCATGTCTAGGGTGTCCATGAACAACACAGATAATAATGGCAGCTAGGAATGGGCAAAGCAGAGGTGTGAATGGAGGAAGATGTCCACACCAGCTCTCTCCACCATGGCCTGTGTGGCCCTCTGTTAAGCGCGTGGCCCCTCCTCTGGACTTCATTGACGAATGCTCACACATGCTAAATGGCTACTAGTCTGTCTTTTATCTTTGCAGAACCAATTACCCTTCCTTCCTTGTGCTAGGTGAGCAGGCATCTTCTGTCAACCCAGCTGAAGATGGCACCGTCATGCTGTAGGAACATTTTATCAGCCTTAAGAGGCTGAATGCTGGTCTTAATTTCCCATGATCCTCCCTGACCTCCAAGTCACAGGCACTTTAGCTGTGGGAAGTAGGGCCTTCCTGTTCCCTGCGTCTTTTCCCTGGAGCCTTGTTTAGAGGCTGCTACAGGACGCACTGGATTCCCTGTTTATTTGAAGGGGATTCAGTCCCACTAAGCACTCATGGTCCTTCTGCAGGGGTCAGGCTCCTGCCTCACTCCACGGTATGTGGGGGCTTCTGTGGGTACACCTCAGGTGTGTGTGTGTGTGTGTGTGTGTGTGTGTGTGTGTGTGATGTCCAGGGGATCATTCTGAATGTGTCCGACACGAGAACGAAAGGCTTATGTCAGCTATTGCTGGTCCAGTCCTTGAGTCCAGGCCAATGTGTGCCACCTCCTTCATCATCAGCACCACAGCGGGTTCTACTGTTTTACTGAGTGAGTGGACCAAGGATCAGCATGGCTAGGGGAAGTGCGCAATGCCCCGGGGCTACCCAGGAGCTTGGTTCTCCCGTCACTTGCTCAACGAGCGCTCATGTAGAGTGTGCATGCACACACGCCATGGTGTGTGTGTGTGAAAGTCAGAGGACAACTTTGTAGAGTCGGTTGGTTCTCTCAGCTCGTCAGACTTGCACAGCAACTGTGTGCCATTACTAGTCTGTAAGAAATGTTTCTTCAGTGTTGACTGTGGCCCGCCCTATTCCAGAAGGGTTAGTTCTAGTGATGGAGATGAACCTCAGTCAACGACAACAAAATTAGGTCTGCAGCATAATACAGTAGGCTGGGAGGCCACGCTGGACAGAAATCCAGAGTGCATGGAGTGATGTCGTGGGTGACCTCTTGGAGGAGGGGGTGACAGAGCAGAGACCCGCAGAAATTAGGGGACTGAGGAGCACGGGAAAGAGTCACACGAGCCTGTTTGGCGCCTTTGAGGAGCAACAAGAACTGTACACTGGACGCCATGTTAAGGACGCTGGCGTTGAGCTGCATGGGAGCTGAGGGGAGCACAGTGGGGGGGGGGCTTGATTTTGTCCTTCACAGCTCATCTGAGACAGAGTTGTTCTGCAGTGAAGAGCTGCTAATGGAGGGATGGTGCCAGGGTTCTCCAAACTTGATGAAAAGGTCTGGGAAAGCAGGGACCCCGGGCAGCTGGGGTGAAGGCACAGCATCCCTGAGACACAAGCTACACACATAGTCCTAGATGGGCTTGAGGCCAAAGGTGATGTTTGCTTTGTAGACTGCATTGTGACCCACCAGGAGCCAGGAGCCAGCCCCTGTGAAGAGAAAGCCTGGGCTGGGGCGTCAAATGGAGGCAAGTGAAAACACAGGGGGGCAGAGGGGGGAGAAAAGGGACACTTGGGCTTGCAAGCCTTTGTTCCCACGGGGACCCTGGCCATGGACAGAACCCCAGTCACCTGGCAGGCGGTCTGGGGGAGCCTTTCTTTCAAAGACAGAGTGCAGGCTGGACAGTAGCACAGGAGGGTTAGCCCTGAGAGGCCTGTGAGGTCACAATAATGAGCAGCCAGCTCCAAGACAATACAGAAGGACAAGAAGAAAGGGTTTCGCTTTACCCTGGTGGCTGTCTATCTGGATGTCACACAGGGAGGAAGCCCTAAACAGCCGAGTAGCAAACCAGGAAGCCAGAGGGTGGGGTTACCCAATCCTTCCATTGCTGGGATGCCAGCCATGATGGGAGCTCTTCTGCTTGAGCTGGTTCTGATGGGGAGGCCTCCAGCTCCCATCTCCACGACCCCTGCATGCTACACAGTTATCTGATGCCCGGACTGCACAACATCTCATTTGTCTGCTTCGGTGGCTCCGACCGGGGTGCTCGCTGAAATCACTTATGGAGATTGTCAGCACAGCGGCAGCTGGGCCCCGATCCAGACATGCTGAGTTTGGATTTGTCAGCATGTCCCCTGGAGGTCCCCATGCCAACCCTTGTTGAGGAACCGGCTAAGGCTTCTAGTCCTTTTCACTGCAAGCCCCTCACCTGTACAGGAGTTCTGGAGGCGAACAGGCTTGCACGAGGGATGGTGTGAGGGGGACTGTGTCCTCACGGCCCCAGCCGGCCCTGCAGATACTGAGGGCCACTGTGATGAAGCTCAGGGATTTGCAGCAATGGACACACAGGCTCTGTGAGGTCAGAGCTGCTTGACCGGGGCCTTCATTTGGGAATCTGTGTAATGCTATCCACTTGTGGCTGTAACTGTGACTCACGGGAGTCATCTCAGGAAGTCTTCACAACTCCTGTTCCAGATGGGACTCGGCCTTGAGGAGGGGTGTGGTATCCTTGGGGATGCTGCTCATGAGCAGAGCTGGGCTGGGAACCCGGCTCCGTCTAGTCTCAAAGCTGGGGTTGTAAGCAATTCCAGTGATGAAGGGAGCCACGGGCAGCTCCCTCACATCTGTACTGACTCACCCTAAGTGGGCGAGGGTGGTGCCTTTGGCCATGGATGACTTTCAGATCTGCAGCAGGACCAAAAGGAAGCCTTAGTCTCTTCCCGGGGCCTGGCTTGTAAAGACTCCTTTACTAACCAAAGTACAACAGCCTGTGTGTGCTGAGCTCCCACTGGGCATGTGCAACTTCCCCGCTGGCTATGGGCAGGGGTCTGCCACAATTCAGACCAATCC